CAGTGTTGCTTTTGTCAAAATAACCATTTATATTCACAGTTTCTCCCCATTTCCTGTTCCTCTTGACAGAAGTAGGGAATGCTATTGGTACATTTTGTGCAGTCTTTGAAAAAGTCAAATGATGGGCAAACTCCCTCTTCTATTAAAGCGCAATAAAGCTTGTGTTACCATAAATAATGTGATAAATTACCAGCAGTGACCAGCAGTCAAAGCATAGATGCCCAGAGCTTCTTCTCTAATCATCCAAGGAATGTAATTCTCCATCTCCTGGGTCTGGGTCTCCTCCCACTTAGACATGCACACAACACCTCAGTTAGGAGGAACCCAGGAGGCTTAAAGCAATTGCCCAAACCACCTCAACTGGCTCCTTTCAATGTGGAAGAGCAGCGGCTGTACTCTGAGCCCCTCCCGATTGTGTGAGTACGTAATCTCTAAGGGAGAGTTCAGCTATCTTTTGAATGAAGCTCATTTCCATCACTACCCAAAGCTCATAACCACAGGTATGAATGTAGATGGAGTGGTAAATCTACAGCTTTGCTTTCAGGCTCTGTTCACTCCACTCTTTCCACACTTGTGCTCAAGACCTTGAAGTTCTTAAATGCAAGCTGGCCTCAGACTTGGAGGCGCTCGGATTGTGGTCCCACTAGGGGTAAAACCACAACCATGGCAGCATGATCTTTTCCTCATATTTTATGTGATACTTTGGATCCCTGCAGGCCAGTGAAGAGTATTAGGCTTATGAAACAGAGGCTTTAAGTATTTCGAAATATATATGTGAGTGTGTGTGTGTGTGTGTGTGTGTGTGTGTGTGTGTGTGTGTGTGTGTGTGTGTGTGTGTGTGTGTGTGTGTGTGTGTGTGTGTGTGTGTGTGTAGTAAAACTGTGTAAATTAGTAAAAACAAAGTTTACCTGAGGAGAAGGCATCCCACACAGTCTAGCAGCAAATGCAAAATCCCCTTTTTCTGTGATTTTATGAGTGAAAAATATGTATGAAAACATGTCAGACAGGGTGGTTGTGTTGCAGCTTCCTGCAGATGAAGAAAATCTGCTTTTGTATTTTAAAGAAAGGAGAGTGAAGCTGGAGAAAGGCAGAGAATATTAATGCCGCCTGAGGCAGCCTGAAGTGAATCTGAATGGAGCTCTGCTGACCATCAGACACCTCAGAGGAAAACCAAGAAGGCTGGTGAAAATGTCCTCCTCTCCCTTTAATGTCTCTGTCTCTTTCATCTCTGCCACGTATGGTGAGGTTACGTGAGGTCGCTTGAAGGACAATCCACTCGACAATATGAACGTATGATGATTTTTAGCTTATATTTTTTTTTAGCTTTTTGGGCCATTTTTTTGTGATAATTGCAGTCAGACAGTCAAGTCTAGGCTTCAGTTTTGGTGAGTGAAATTCTATTTTATTAGTTCATATCTTAGCACTAGCATCTCCAGCCCAGCCTCCTGTCCTTTTGTCATTGCCACTGTCTCCAAACCATCCATCACAGCAGGTCTCACTACCATCTGACAAATATTTCTTATCCCTTTCACTTCTGTTGAAAAACTACTTCTGACACTCGTCTCCACCCTCCCTGCACTCTCTTCTTCATGTTACTTCTGCACAGTCCGTTGTTTTGAATGGTTGACCTCTGGTATTTAAACTCTTCCACTTTCTCTACCCCTCCTCCTCTTCACTGTCTTCCTCTCATTCACATACATGTATTCTCTCTTACTGACTTTCATTCTTCCACCTGCTCCCTACTCTCACTACAAATCACAGTGTTGTCTGGAAACATCATACTCCACAGAGACTCCTGCCTGACCTCATCTGTCACCCTATCCATCATCACTGCAAACAAGAAGGGGCTCAGAGTCGCTCCCTGATGTAATCCCACCTCCACCGTGAACCCATCTGTCACTCCTATCCATTTATACCATCAAATAGTTTAATAATGAAGTTTTCATTCATAAGGTTCTGTCTAGAAAAAAAAGTTGACCAAAATTCTAATATTTTGAAATGCACTGTCTGAAGCCATCGGGTGACATCGCGGCAGCTACGTCCATCTTTTATACTGTGTATTCCTGTTACTTTATAGGTGTTTGTGTTGTGCAAACAGTTTAGACACTGGCAATCTGCAGGTGTATTTGCATACTAGTAGCAGCTACTGCTATATTTCTAAAAGCATGTGCACACATGTGCACACATGCAACCCAAAATGAGGGGAATTTTTAATACATCTTTAAAACTTGTTTCAGTTTCAGGTTTCAGCAGATTTGAGTAACCTGGCTGCAGATATTTGCTCCCTTTTTGCCATGAGAGCACTGGCGAGGCGGACATCATCACTGGATTTTGAGAGATGAGGTCTCTCTGGCTCAGAGCTGAAGCTGAACTGATTAAATACTGAGATGCTACTATTTCCACGACTGATTCGGTGCTGTTATATTATAATCATTTTAAAAATACAAAGTAATAATCCTGGCTTTGCCCTGTGGACTTGTGGAAGTTTGGAGGATGGTTTTTCACATTTTTTCTAGTATTTCAGAAGTAAAGAAAATATTTACCTGTCTGTCCAACCAGCATTCTTGAGTTGTTTTTTTACATTGGATCCCCCATGCTAGGTGATTAGTGGTCAGAGCAGAATGTGCGTGTTTCCTCTTAACAAGCTGTGTGGGTTTGTACACCTTCACCTTGTTCTTTCACATTAATTCACATAGCAACAGGCTGTCCATAAAATCACAGCAGAGGTCACAGCAACGTTATTGCGCAGGGAGGTTAACAAGTAGGCTGTGACCCTTGTATTCAGCCCAACATCTCCAGAGACACACTGAGATCAATACAGAGCACCAGTTTAAGAGGCTTCTCTCAGAACAATACACGAGAAGTTCAACTGGCTGAGGCCAGATTGTCCCTCAGGTTCTTTAAGTGTAGAAGAACAGACTGACCGTAAGAAATAAATGTACGATGATACACTGCAGACTCAGTCATTCATTCTGGAAAGAAAACAGGTTTCCATGGTAATGTTTCCCGAAGTTATTGCAATGAAATTTCAGGGGGGGAAAGAAACCCTCTGCTGCCCTCTAGGGGAGTTAAAGCAAAAGTACATGGGAATAAATGTAAAGATGGCCCTGCTTTCTTTATTTCACAAAAAAGAAGCTGTGGTAAACAGGATCAGAATCGGGGTCACATTTAGTAGCCAAAGAAAGCAAAGACACATACATCCTTTCCTGATGTACAGTAGAAACAAGATGAAGCACCATGAAACATGGAGCACATTAAAGAAACATCTATAAAGAGAGCATCAGCCTGCATTTACCAGTAATCATGTTCACAAGTTAAAGCCCCCATAAAAATTACAAAATACACCAACCTGTCCCTGTTTACATGTACTAGTGCATCTCTAAAGACTGAAAATCAAGGTCCATGACTCTGGAGGAAGAGTTGGAAGCCAGAGAATGGATCCAATGTGTTTGAAGGTGATGGTCTGGGGATCCTCATCATCAGCTGGTGTTGGTGGCAGTTGGTTCACCCTTTTTAATCAAGTCCAAAGTCAACTTGTCTACTAGAGGATTTTAGAGCACTTCCCATTGCTGGCAGGCTTCATGAAGATTTTGTTTTTCCAGCAGGACTTAGCACCCTCCCACCGACCCAAACCTACTACCAAATATTTTACTGCTCATGGTTTTACTGCCCTTTACTGGCCAGCCAACTCTCCCGACCTGATCTCCACAGATAATATGAGAAGCATAGTCAAGAGGAAGATGAGAAACATCAAAATAGAGATGAGCTGAAGGCACCTATCAAAGCAACATAATAATAATTTCGTTTTTGGCTTATCTTGGGAAACATTCAAATCTTTTATAATAATCAGGCAGGCTGGTCTGAGTATTTCAGAGAAATCATCAAAGAAAATGGTCCAAGAAAGAGAAAATGTCCAGTGAGTGGGTGTTCTCTGATTGAAAATGCCTTGTTGATGCCAGATTTCATTATGACCAGTTTCTAGATGACAGGAAGCCAACAGTAACTCAAATAACCACTTCTTACAATGAAGCTAGGCAGAAGAGCACCTCTGAATACACAACATCAGGCTTACCAAAACTGAACAGCAGGAGATTGGAAACAAAAAAAAGTTGTCTTGTGATTCAGATCTGACTTTGACATAAACATCATAAAAACACTGATCATTCCTGCCTTGTATCAACAGTTCATGCTACTGCTGGTAGTGTATGGGGATAATATCTTGGCACACTGTAAACCTAGCTGAGCATTCTATGAGTAATGATGCTGACCATGTCCATCCCTGTATGACCGCAGTGTAGCCATTTTGTGATGGCTGCTTCCTGTAGGATAACTTATCGTGTCACAAAACTCAAATAATATCAAACTGGTTTCTTGAACAAGGACAATGAGTTCACTGTACCCAAATGGTCTCAATCCAATAGAGCACTTTTGGGACTTGGTGTGAATAGATCACGGATGTGTAGCTGGTAAATCTGAAGCAACTGTGTGATGCTATGGACCAAAATCTCTGAGAAATGTTTTCAGAACTTTGTTGAATCAATGCCATGAAGAATTAAACCAGTTCTCATTAGTTAGTAGCAATGTGTACTTAGTGATGTGTGTGTATTTTCTGTTCATGATCAATGTTTAAATGGTATATATATTTAGTAGGCTGTATGTGGGCCATGAGCTAAAAATGATGGCCTAGACTTTGTGCCTATTTAAAGGCAAGACTGGGTCTAGCAGACATAGTTCAGGTTTAAATTACGCACCACACACGTTTCCTAAAAGTAATCTCATTTTGTGTCGCAAGCATAAATGTTAATTTTATAAGCCACAGACAGACCAAGTCTAAGTCTCGAAATGGTTCTAAAATGCGAAAAACGTATTTATTCATTAATTTATTTGTGTGCTACCACGACGCCGTTAGGAACCCACCAAAACTATAAAGTTCTATTGGACAACCCCAAATCCATGAATTCGATTGGTTCATCTGTGTCCGTCTCCTTAAACGTCCCGACCTGAAACACGGGCACCTCGAAAGCGTGACCAGGTAGCTAGCCGTATTGCATAGCTTCTACTAACAAATATTTAAAATATAATAATAACAATATAGTACCAACATTTAGAATTTCTGGATTTTTTTGACCAACAGGAATGACACACTTTTGTTGTTAGCCCTCCTCGATTTGAAGGTAACTTCATACATCCTGACATGATGCTGTTGCTGCTAACTTGCTAACATTACCGTCTATCCAACCTTAGCATAGGATAATAATGCTCTTAAATTAGAGTATTCGCTTCTCCTTTAACCTTTACGTTACGCCGGCTGCTGCTGGTTATTTTCTGCGTTTTATGTTTGTATTGGTTAGGTGGAGTTCGTAATTGCAAGTAGCTCGTTTAACGGTGCTCAGCTGTGAAAACCTTTACTATCTCTTAGCCTTTATTTGGCTTTTTATAAGACGCTAACGCTATTTTAAGTTTCAAAATCATTATATCAAGCTCAGAGTTCCGTATATGTACAACAATATTAGATTTCAATATACGCATTTGCGTCGATTAACACATTAGGGGAATAAAGTGCTGGTCACAAATCTACGACTTTCGTTTGTCCGTCCAGAGATTGAGCTTGAGCGAGATTGTTCATGTAGAGAAAGGGCAATTTAAAAACAACCATTGTGTGACAGTGTATTTGATGCACCGACCCAACCTTTACTAAGCTTTTCTGATTGCTGATCCAATACTAGTGTTAAATGAATCATCACAATATTAAAGAAACTGCGAACCCGTCCTTATTTCCAGGCAGCATTAGGCTGGACTCGAACTCTTTCCTAACTCTCTCCAATAAGCAGGAAAAAAACCTTCTAAGAATATTAATGAACGGAAGCGATATTTATTATTGAAATAATACGTAACACGAGGACCACGATACCATGAAAAAATAGCGAGGTAATATCTTATTTGTTTTTACCAGTATTATCTTTCCTGTGAAGCAAACTGGCCAAAAGAGACCCTCCCCAATGAGTAGTTTGCTCTTACAGGATGCATCACATTAATAATAATAATAATAATAATAATAATAATAATAAAATAATTACAGCAATCGAGCTGTTTGGGAACTTTAAATGGAAAGAATTTCTTTTTAACGTCCATCTGCAGCCTGACATCAGCCACCCTCGCTCTTTCTAGCCCAGAGACTTGCAGCATTTAGAGGGAAGTGTAAAGAAGAACTCGTGCACTAAATTAATTATAGTTTTAGACACAAATGATTTTGTAATATAGATTTATAATATAAAATATAACTCTACTTATAAGTTGGCGTTCTTATAGTTTAGCAGCTTATGCAGTAAATAAATTACAGTCGTGCACGGAAATTTTGGCAGTGCACAGTTTTTTGTTTGTGTCACTTCAGTTTTTATTTAGATTCTTTTTTGCATGTTTCTGTGATTTGGGAAAGAACAAAAACACGCGTTTCATATGTTTCAGTGACTTTTATTGGCAACAAAATCAAATTGATGCAAAAAAAAATGTAAACTGTTGAACCACCTTCTTCATAACTTCTGGATTTCTCTGTGGCATGTTGGATATCGGCTTATGAGCCAAATCCTGACTGATGGCATTTCCTGCCTTATCAGTGCTTGAACTTGAAAGTTTTTTTGGGCTTCTGCTTTTCCGCCCATGGTGAGTAAAGACTGACTAAAAATGTCTTTAAAAAAAACATCTTCTTCCATTGATCCAGAAGCAGTTTGGTGCTCCATGTCACTAGGCTAAATTGATGAGGGCTTGGAGATCATGAATTTACCATTTTGGGTCCATGACCATGAAACTCTCCATACTGTAATCTGATCGAGAATCTGGGGCTAGTCCTGTTCTTTAAACAAATCTGATTTATTTGCCAATCAAAGTATTTAAAACTAATGACAATACTAATGACTGTTTTTCACTTTATCAAAGAGATCTAAAAAAAAGAAATAAATCTAAATAATCAAAATAAAAAACTGACTTGTCAAAGTGTATGCAACACAAATGTTGTGCCGAAACTTCTGGCCGTCACTACACTTTGTGAGCCAATACTAGTGGCCAATAAAAGTCTGATTTTCTGGTCTGATGTTTATTTTGGGCGGAACAAATGTTTTTTTTGAATACTTAAATTTGAAAAAGTTCAATGGTTCCCGAAAGCATCAACTCTGTGCTTTTTCAGTGATCTTCGGGGTCGTTACACTAATCCCAGGCAGGGATACGATACTACTACTAATAAAAGTGCAGAGTCGCTGCTTTCAGGAACCACTGGAATTATTTCAATTGAGCAAATAGTTCAGGAGTTACACATGTTTGAAACAACCTGTCTGACGCCAGCGACAGGTTAGGCTTTAGAGGCTGAAACCTGTGAGTGGAAACTAAAGCTTTCATGTCAGTCGATTGATTTTCAGATGTGTCTCATTCGCAGGTGGATGTCAGTTGTGTTGACCCGATTGTCTTCTTTTGTCCACAGCCATGTCTTTCCATCAGGATCGTGGGGGTCCCCGGGGAGGAGTGCCTCCTGGCCAGCACGGTGCCAACCAGAACTACAGACCCACCAACATAAGGCCGCCCCCTCCCCAGCCTCCAGTTCCTTCCTACCGTTACGATTCGCAGACTGCCCCCTACATGCCTCCACACCCTGACTTCATGCAGTATCCACCACCAGTTCAATCCCAAACTTCCAATTCTCTTAACCAGTGCCCAGTGCGCCCACCTTTCTCGAAGCCCCCCACCCGACAAGGCTTCCCTGAACCGCCACCTAACTTTCCACCTCCTCCCTTACCCGGCTCCGCAGGTGGTCCCGCTCCAAGGGCGCAGGTGTCTGCTCAAAATGCCTACCACCCTTACATGATGCCTCCTGTGCCCCCACCGCCGCTACCACACCCCCCAATGCCTCCCCCCATGGCCTCTCAATCAATGAACTACCACGCTCCGTACTCCATGAACTACCCCCATCCTCCTCACCCTCCATTCCCTCCTCCTACCTTCAGCTCCAGCTACACCCAAAGCAACACCCAGTTTCAAGCAGACCACAGCATCAGGCATGGGGGGCAGTACAAGTACGAGAAGCCCATGGACAGCAGGAGGTCCCCAGAAAGAGGGTATCGGCACGATGATCACAGGCGGAAGTGCTTTGGCTATGGAGGCCACGGCGACAGGCACAAAATGGAATTTCCTGGAGAGAGGAAGGACCGCGGGAGAAGTCCAGACAGGCGCAGCAGGCAAGAGGGTGGGCGGTATAGGTCTGAATACGACAGAGGCCGGACTCCCCCCAGACACAGGAGCAGGGATCGCAGCAGGTACACAGACGACGCTCTGCCAAATGAAATCAATCAGTGAAATGATTTCCTTTTAACTGCTCTGTCTGTTCACAGAGAGCGGTATCGGCACAGAGACAGTCGGAGATCCCAGTCACCCGACAGGCACAGAAAGAGGCCTCGAAGGTACACGTGTTGCTTTGTTTGGCTTAATGCAGCTGTTGTGAAATAGTACTCATCGATAAACCTTTTAAATCTGTAATAGACAAAGTTTAAGGTCACAAAGAAAAATCCTTGGTTTTGAAAGAAAAGCGTTCATAGTTGTTTTTTAACTAGCATTTCACACATCAGTACAGAAGATGTTTTCAGATTATATAGAGAGAAGAAATTATGCTTTTTCTTTCCTTGAATCATAGAAAAAAATCTCTGCCATTGCTTTACTTCCTGTTTTGACTGCAACAAACGTTTTATTACTCCAGCACTGTTTGAGAGTGTCCTGAAGGTGTTTATTGATTTGAAAACATGTTTCACATTTTTAAAATGTGCCATGGCGGCTCTTTTTTTGCTTCTCATCCGTAAACACTCTGCATACTCTTTCACGTGATTCACTTTATTTTGAAAAGTCTCAACAGGATCTTGAGCTTTATTGTGAAAGGTTTATGTAGAAAATAAACAAGCAGACACGCATGGTGTTACCCTCGTTGTTGCTAACCACAACGCATAAAAACAGGCGCTTGTTCGTCTGTAGTGTGGTTATATTAAATATAAGATAAAGAGAGAACTTTAAGAAATTAATATAGCCACTACAGTGACCTTTAAAACGATGAAAAAATATTGCCGTAAACAGTTTATTTTGCGACACCACAAAACAAATGATTGTGTAATAGGAAACGATAGACGTTTTTATATCGTCATCTGATACATATCGTTATATCGAACAGCCCTACCTAAGATTTCAAAGCAAGAGACTGTGCACAAGAGAGGTGAAGGAAGGGCTGAGTGGATAGAGGTGATTTGCAACAGAAGGATGGCAGCAAAAGTAAAGGGGAGTTTTACAAGATGACAAAAAGACAGAGAGCAGAGCTGAAGATGCTCAGATTATCATTGGGAGTGACCAGAATAGACAGGATTAGAAATGAGTGTATCAGAGGGACCGCTCGGGTTGAGCGGTTTGGAGGCTCACAGGGTTTGGACTTGTGCAGAGGAGGGAAAGTGGATGTACTGGACAAAGGATGTTGAAGATGGAGCTGTCAAGCAGGAGGAAAAGAGACAGACCTCAGTAAAGATTCATGTATATGTACTTTAAATCAAAGTCATGATACCTAAGATCAAAACCTGAAGGCACCATACTGGTAATGAATCATGTCAAAAAACCTCTGTGGCAGAAAAAACTGGTTTCTTGAGCAGTGGCTCTATTTAGACAGAGGTCATTTTTCAAGCAAAGGAAAGTAGTATCATACAAACAGTTTAACTTATTAATTTCTTGCCGTTTTCTAGTATTAATATATTTTCTTTGATATAATGAGCAAGTGTAAACATGAGACCTCAACTCAGATTTATCCTCATGTCTCATGTTGACTTTTCCTTTTCGTATGTAGCCGGTCAACGAGCAGAGACAGGAAACGTGGTCGCTGGGAGGAGGAGAGGGACAGGAGGTCAGAGAGCTCCTCGGGGCTGAGCAGAGAGCGCAGCTTCTCCGCCATAAGGAGCAGAGACTCTGATGAAGCCTTCAGCGACAGAGACCGAGAGCGGGAGAGAGAGAGGGAACGGGACAGGGAGCGAGAAAAAGTGAAGGAGAAGGGCGATGACGAGAAAGAAGAGGAAGACCTGCTGAAACCTGCCTGGATTCGGTGCACCCACGCAGAGAACTACTATTCCAATGACCCCATGGACCAAGTGGTACTGTTATCTTTCTTTTTTCATAAAGCTAACATTTGCTAAATTCCTGATTTGTAACTCTAACAATATATTTGTCTTTCTTGCCTGAACAAGGGGACAGTAGTTCAGTGGTTATATTACATTCTTAAAAGGAAACTTTGTGAATCTTCTTTCTGCCATTACACTAATTTTGTTTGCAGTGGTGTTAAAGAATAGCTTTTGAAAGATGTGCCCACCCCAAGTAGGCTTGCAACAGACTAATAACAAGAAACCAGAGCAAAAGGAGTACCATAAATTATAAATACTTAAGAAATAATTTGACCTGCTGTCCTTTCTAAGCTTTAGAAACCAGTTCAATAAGCTTATCAACACCAAAACTATTAAATACCCATTTTATTCTGTCATCATTGCCACACCATCCATCTGTCTATTTTCTGTTGGTTGGACCATAGGGTCTAAGCAGTCTAAGCAGATAAGCTCAGCCCTTCTCCCCACTGGCCACCTCCTCCTGTTCAGACCGAGCAAGCCGTTTCCCTCTGGTTCATACTGTTCCCAGTAGAAAAAGGTAGTCCCCAGTTGCAGCACTTTCCAGCACCCCACCCAGTGTCTTTAAGAAGGCCGGCTTCCCTGGACGTTTGTTCACAGCATACACGAGGGTAAACCCACAGTTTCTCACTGAGGACGACTACAGACTGGAACAGAGTCCAGCCCCTTTCCAGAGGACCTGTTCCATAGCTCAAGCTGTCCATTGAAGTGAGTCAGACTATATCTAGCCGGTATCTCTAAACCTCACGCACTAAGGCTGAGTCAAACAAATGATGAACGCACAGAGATGTGGTGCAGAATATGCCATGAAAATCCCACTCTAGCGGACAAAAACAGTGCCTTTCATATGTACGCTAACGCTCGTTGCAACTTCTTATCTGGTGCGCGTCTTTTAGTTTGACAGCGAATGCTCACCTGCGGACCACTTATGTGCACCCCTGCATATATCGATACATTCCATATCCTCTTGAAGACCCAACATAGCAGAACATTTATGAACACCTAACAAAAGCGTGCATATCTGTAGTTATGCACTTACATGTGTTGTGAGTAAATAAAGTACCATAGATCTTTATGTATTTTTACTTCGTATATTTACTTGTGATATTTTTTGGATTGGTGGCTTTGTAGCAGTATGTTTTTCAGTCAGTCAGTTAAGCTGACACTCAAATAACATCTTATTGCCACTTTTTCTTCTTTTAGCAAATCCTTCTCAAATGCTTTTCTGAAGTCTTTGGATCTTGTAGATACTGACACCTACTTTTTCTCCTCTCTCCTCGCTGACCTTTATCCGTAGTCTCTAATGCTTGGTGTCCTCAGCTCCTTTCTCTCCCCACATATTACACATTCTGGCAGACACTTGACCTGTCCTTAAAGGAAAACTGAAGTGATATTAAATGTCAAGCGGGAACCCAACTTTACTTGTAAGCATCCTTCACAAACAGATTTAGCTCTCCTGTGTCTCTGTTATGACAGAGAGGATGTTACCTTTGGGTGTCAATTACTGTAGCTGTGCCAGATGTGTGTAGAACTGCACTTACACTGTGATTACACTTCACAGTGGTCCAAGCTTTGTAATAATTTAAGATACATTTCTATTGGAAAGCAGATCATTTTCTCTTTTAAAGGCATAAGTATGTTTTGCAGTTTTGTTTGTGACATTGTTATACCACCTAACTTCACATTTTGTCTTGATCAATAGACTGTTAGTGTGAGTATATTAAAGAAACTCAAATATAGTTGTGCTTAAGTTTTAAAAAGTCAGTGTGCATCCTGGAGGCCTGTGGGTTTGAGACTGACCGTGTAATCCCAGAATCCTCCTGATTAGAGTCCAGCTGGGGTTCTTTGTTGCATGTCATCCCCTCTGGCTCAGTCCTCATTTCCTCTTTGCTCAGAACCGTCTCCAGTGAAAGCATAAAAAAACACACAAAAGTAAACATAGTTTTAGTTCTGGCAGCCCACAAAATCAAGCTCAGCTACAATCCCACCAGACCAGCTCATCTCATCTCAATGCCAACCTTCATCAGCTGGTGCATCCTGTCAGCATGTCTTGTATAGAGTGCACAGTCTAAAATTCAACTGACAGAATAGTCTGATATTTCTATGTGATTTTATTATATTTTTAATAATAAAAAGGTTTCCTTCCATCAGTTGTCATTGTTCTCCTACAACTTTACATCCATCTGCACATCCATCCATTTTCTGCTGTTTCTGAGGGTTTGGGTTGTGGGGGCAGGAGTCTGAGTAAGATGCCCAGGCCTTCTTCTTCCCAGCCACCTCCTCCATCTTTTCTGGGCAATATTGCGGCATTTTTAAGCCAGCATAGAGATGTGATTCTCCAGTGTGTCCTGGGTCTGCCCCAAAACACCTACACTGGGAGGTCCTCAGTGGGCGTTTACATCAAATGGCCAAACTGGCTCCTTTCAATGTGGAGCACTAGCAGTTCTACTTCAAGCCCTTCAGCCTGTCTCTATGGCAGGAGCAGACACATATGGAGAAAGCTCGTGTCCACCGCTTATTCCCATAATCTCATTCTTTTGGTCTCTATCTAAAGCTCTTGGCTATAGGCGAGAGTAAAATGTAGAATTTTAACCGATAGCTTTCACGGCCTGCTCTCTTTTCAATACAACAAACCAATACCTCAACTTGGGGCAGCAGTTCCACACTTTTCCAGTTGAGAACCATGATCTCAGACTTGGAGGTCCTAATTCTCATCCCGTCTGCTCTACACTTGGCTACAGTCTGTTACAGTATGAAGTGGAGGTCTACTCACAATGATGCCAATAGAACCACATCATCTACAAAATCCAGAGACCACCAGACAGCATTTCATATGAACTGGCCCATTGGTATAATATTTAATGGAAAGATATCACCCCAACCGGTTGCGGCAGATGTCCACCCCTCCCTGAGCCTGGTTTTGCCCACTGTCACCAAAGTGCTTGCTCATAGGGGGTCATATGATGGGTTTTTCTCTGTATGTATTATTGTAGGACCTACCTTACAATATAAAGCGACTTGAGGCGACTGATGTTGTGATTTAGCGCTGTATAAATAGTTTACAGTATAAACAGTCAGTGTATCAGTATAAAATATACAGGAATACTTGTATGACTACCACCCCAACCTCAGTTCTTTTAGATTCGGTTGCTTGAGGGTTAATTAGAGATGCATTATCTTAGGCTTCACTTAAGAGTGGGAGCTACATGAGGCATACTGCACTATAAATAATAATAATAATCAATGAGCACAGGAGGAAATTATAATTTTCTTTCGACTAAAGTGGCTCTGACTGAAATATCCATTAAATATTAAAATGTTAGTTTGACTAAAAGATCCTGGAATCCTTTCTCAGTCTACAACTTTTCCATTTAACTTTCAGCAGTTGAACAAACTTGGCTTGTTGCATTTGAACTGCTGTATTTCAGGGAGACTCTACAGTGGTGGGAACGAGTAAACTGCGTGATCTGTACGAGCGCTTTGAGGAAGAGCTGGGAAACAGACAGGAGCGAGCCAAGGCTGCTCGACCCAAATGGGAGCCGCCCAAGACCAAACTGGACGAGGACCCAGGTTAGTTGTGCTATTTTTATATTTTAGCTTTAACCTCAGTCTTTAAACTTAATTCTGTAAAGGAGACCTATTATGCTCATTTCAAGCTCCACATTTTGTTCTGATTGGCTGCCCTTTGTCAGAGGAAGATTTGAACAGCAAGTAGGCGGGGCTTATTTACCTGAGATGGCCATATAAGGAATTTCCTATCTAAATGACATCATATAGGGCCAAGAGTATAAAAAAACTTGCTGAAACTGAGTGTTTAGAGCCATCTAAGACAGAGAATTTTACATACACTGCCCTCATCATTTGTAACTGGCAATGTTTAATATCTGCTGTTGTGACTGTATGTATGTATGATCGTCTTTAAATAAACCCTTGGCCTGCACATACTTGTGTTACCAAATAAAAGCCATCAGCTAAAACATCTGTTGACAACCTTTTTTATTGATATGGGGAAAAAAAGCTTGCTATCTTCTCAGCAGTGCATTGGGGCGAGACAGAGATTAAGTTATGTTTCTGATTTTATCTGCAGGGCTGTCAGCCCGATTGTCTATTTCACCAGCGCAATAATATAAATCTCACTCAGGGAGATCCAATTTGCTAAATATGCTGCTTTGGGCGCCGACTTCACAATCAAACACTCGAGTTAAAGTGCTGATAAGAATTAAAGACTCTGCTTAGCTAAGGGCCACAAACCATTCAGCAGAATGGTAATTATAATCCTCATTTTGGTTTGAGGTTTGTTTTCGGTGAGGGAGAATGACAAGTGAGAGAGGAGGAGAGAAAACACAAGTGCCAGATGTCAACTTTGGCAAGTGCACCCTGCTTTTAATCTCACGGATGCATTAAAGTCTGCAACTGGCATGAAAATTGGAAATTGTTATGAACAACAGTGTTTAGACAACGAAACCACCACAGTTAGCTGTTAGTCATGCTAAACTCTATTTGTTTGCATAATGAAAGATTAAGCAAGTGCAAATTGGGTAACAGATCTTAAGGTTTGCTGTGTCGTCTACACAGCCAGGGTGAGTATTCCTCCTCAAGAGTTGGCAGAGCCCGAGCGCGCAGTTTTAAAGCATTTTGACAGATTACTTCACTTTGACTCTGCCTTGTGAGTGTAATACTTTGCGAGGGCACAGCTGAGCAGAGGAGCTTAACCACTCGACCAGCTCCGGCTCGCCGAATTAGTTTTAATCGTTAGCCGCGTAGCATTCGCATGATTAAAGACCTTCTTGCACTGTGGTTTCAGATGACAGCAGCAGCGACTCAGACTGTGAGTCAGAAGGCGAAGGAACCACCTGCTCCAGCAGCTCTGACTCAGAGGTTTTTGATGTCATCGCTGAGATCAAAAGGAAGAAAGCTCACCCCGACCGGCTGCACGAGGAGCTCTGGTACAATGACCCCGGGGAGGTTAGTGTGTCTTAAGAAAAGGATGCCGAGGATAGATTGTTCTATCTTCTGTGTATACCTCTTGAATTCATGCCCGACAAAGTATTAAATCATACGGAATATCTCAATCTGAAAGCATTCCTGAAATACTGGAAGACATACTGTCGATGTGAGAACGATAAGGCAGCTGCACAGACAGGCTGAAACCTTTAACCAAAACATTTGGTTTTTTGACAACAGCTGACTTTATATTCATTTTTGAATCAATGATTTTAAAAGTTAAAGTAAATCAATCAAATAACATTTTTTTTACACGTGCACTACAGCCCAGAACTTTCAAAGACATCACCCCGCAGAGAAACAAGTGAGAATGCAGATGTCCCCTGCAGCCAGAACAGACATTAAATGGTCCTTAACCTGCCAGCTCTCTAGATCAAAGTCCTTGTGATTTATGCCTATGTGATAACTGATGATGTTAACTCTCCTGCCCCCCTGTACTCTCTACCCAGGAAGAACCCTCTCCAAAACCAAGCAGACTATTTCCAGCGCTTATTGATTGATTGATTGATTGATTGATTGATTGATTGGTAATTTATTTCAACATGTGAACAATATACAAGTACATTTAGAAAAGAAATGAGAGAAAAAAAATATACTATACAAATTACATACAAAAAAACATTCTGATTAATTTACATGTTGAAAGGGAGTGGGAAGAAGTATACACTTATTTAATCCCACCCCTGTCCCATAAATTATCAGTGAATATTTAGTCAGCTTAGATGTAATCTGATGTGCTGGCTCCTGCTGTGCAATGTGAAATTGACTTGATACTGGCCCTGCATTGTGAATAAAAGCAGGAAAACTGCAGAGACCTCACTTTGCATTAGACCAGAGACATTATAAGAAAAGCACTCAAGTAATCCTGAATTAAAACCTCAAGCAGAATTTTGCATCAGCAAAATATGACTTTGCAATCTCAGTTTTTTTTTAATCTGTCAGATTTAACTAAGTCTACACATACGTTTATGTATGTCTCACTTAAGGAAATAAATTCATCAGACAACATAAATAATATATTATATTTTTTAGGAAATAACAGTAATTTAGTTTTAACATCACACTTCCATATTTTAGTTACTAAATGTGTGAATTACTAAGTTATTATTGGTGTTTTTCCTCCATTTAACTGGTATTTATTTATATAAAAAGATTGAATATCCAATCCATGAGCCATCATCACAATACTCAGAGGTCAGACTCCACCTGGTTTTGATCTTGGCCTTCATTGATCTCAGTGACACACTTTTATGTGTGTTTCGACCAGTTGTCATAATCCGTGCACAGACATCGAAGCATGTCAAACACCTGCCAAACCACTGTTTTTATGGTGCCGTAACACTAGGTGTCTCCAACAACACATTTTCCTGACACATGCACTCGCAGTTCCACACAGGCTGGACCCGTTTTGCTTGTAGAAGTCTTTAAATTCTTTGTGGCATAAATTCAACAAGGTGCTCAAAACATTCCTCAGATTTTGATCTATATTTACATGATGGCATCACACAGTTGCTGCAGAGTTTTTGGTGGCACATGCGTGATGTGAAACCCCCATTCCACCACAGCTCTATTAGATGGAGATCTGGTGACTGTGGAGGGCATTTGAGTACACTGTTGTTTTCAAGAAACCAGTTTGAGAGGATCTCAGCTTTGTGACATGACACATTATGTTGCTGAAAGCAGCCATAAGAAGGTGGGTACACTGTGGTCATCATGGGATACCAAGAAAATATCCCACACACTAGTACACCACCACCACCCTGAACTGAAACAAGGGAAGATGGATCCATGCTTTCCTGTTTCATTCAATTTAGAACCGTCCAAATGTCGCAGCAGAAATTGAGATTCATCAGGCTAGACAGACTCATCAAAGTTAGACAACAGTCTTCTGTTGTCTAACTTTGATGAGTCTGTATGAATTGTAGCCTTAGTTTCCTGTTCGTCGCTGACAGGAGCGGGGCACCTGGTGTGGGCTTCTGCTGCTGTAGCCCATCTGCTTCAAGGTTCGACATGTGCTCTTCTGAAAACGTTGGTTAAAAGGAGGCGTTATTTAAGTTACTGATGTACTCTTATCAACTCACTGAGCTGCTGCTCAGTGGATAGTTAGTCCGTTGAGACCATTCTCTGTAAACACTGTAGGTGGTCGTGTAGGTAAATCCCAGTAGATGCGCAGTTTCTGAAATACTTGGACCAGCCTGCCTTTTCTTCCTCATTCCGGTGGCTGGTTTGAACTTCACCGGAGGATCTTGACCATGTCTCAATGCCTAAGTGCACTGAGTTGCTGCCATGTCACTGGCTCATTAGGTGTTTGCTTAACAAGCAGTAGAACAGTTATGCTCTACTGCTTGTAACTTTCTCACAGGTAACTTTATATGGTATATAAAGTTACCTGTGAGAGTATATACTAGTTTTAAGACAGTAGATAAAATGCTCTCCAGTAAAGCCTGACTTATTTCTGCCACGTGTATTACAACAGCATGGCTCTGTAATTAAAGAGTAGAAGAAGAACGAGTAGAAAAAAGCTTGTCAAAAAGGCTGTAGGGCATCCATATGATCATTGCAGTCCAGTATTCATCTGTGTTAGATCCACATAGGTAAAATAAATACTGACTTTAAATAATCCAATAAAGAAGAAAGAAACCGTACCAGCTATGCTGTTGGAACTGAGGATAATCTGCACATTACTTAACTCCACAACAGACTTCAAACTCGATAAGACTGCAAAAAACATTTGAAAAAAGCAGAATGTAAGAGTTGATTGTTGTGGCCATAAATATCTAGTGTAGCTACAGTAAGGACTCCATTTCTTCCCTGTTGGCTTCTAAAGTCTTTTTGTAAATATCTGAAACCACTAACAGCACATACAACCAAAGTCCTTCTATAAAGAAGTCTTCAAACTCAGCAGCCAGCAGAGCCTCTGGGCATTTATTTTGAAGCTGCTGTCTACATAAATGTGAAAAGACCCATAACTTTTATTTCAGTGGGACATAAAAAAACAGATATATAGACTCACCAGCCAAATCTAACAATCTGCTTTTCCACCTGCAGGTTGGACTTCTAGTATCCACAGAAAGAGTAACACAATCCTACAGCTTCATTAGTGGCTCAATCCAGGCACCAGAGCACTGAACAATGCCACGCTAATTCATGTTTTGAATACACCTAGCTACATCTTTACTGCAAGGGAAATTACTGATGTGTGAATAAGTCTGCCACCAACCACTTGAAACTGCCGTGACCCTCGTGTCAATGGAACGTGGTTGGTTCACAGGTTTCCTGGTTTGGGTCTTTATTGGCTTTTTGGTTGCGGTGACAGGACAGCCGACTTTCACATTTTAGGTATTCTGGGTATTGTTGTCTCGTCTCTATGTCAGTTGCACGCTTCCTCTTTCTGCTTTGAATAAATGTCATTTCCACTTGATGGAAAGACGGTGTGTAGTAAAGTTATAGGCCAGCAGTTTTATTGTGAGGATATGTATTGCGGAGACAGTGTCACAAAGTGAAGTTTAAAAAGTCAAAACTTCAAACTGCAGCAAAGAAATAAAGGTCAGGAGTCTGCAGTTTAGAGATGTAAAATGTTGAGCAGCCCCTGTGTTATACATGGCAAGTGAAGCAGTTCTGTCTGATTTACGTATTTTCTTTCTGTCCAGATGAATGATGGTCCCCTGTGTAAGTGCAGTGCCAAGGCCAGACGTACAGGGATCCGCCACAGCATCTACCCGGGGGAAGAGGTATGACACGCCATGAATAAATCACCCTTTCATAACCTTGAAGTTGTGCCACGCGGGGGCAAGGGCATTATTTTAGTCAGGCTAAAAGCATTTTCTATACAGAGGCCATCTTCTATTGTGTTAAAGGCGCGATAAGTGAGACAGAAGCATCTTAAAGAACAAAAGGATATTACATTTCAGGAAAATTTGACTGGGGAGTTGCGTCCGAGTGATTCATCGGCTATTTTTCCACACACTGAGATAGATTTTCTTTTATGACTCACTTTCTTACTTTGCTGTGTTTTGGAACTATAACTCCCACCAGCCGCGTGCTCATCTAACAAGTAAAATGCATTTTATCTACAAAAAGCTCAGTCGTTCAGTTTCTTTTGCCTTTATGCCCAGTAGGAAATGATCAAACTCTGGGATTGTTTAATGAATCCTTAATGACTTTATTAACCAATGATAGGTACGTTAAATAGTGGTAAATGTGCATCATCCTCCAGACAAAGGCGGGTAAATGTCTGCTCCATACTCACTTGTTTGGGGATGTATATTTGATTGATTGATTGATTGATTGATTTTTTTTTTTTTAGTAATATTTTCTGTCTTAAAAATCTGCCTTGAGTTAATTAGTGCGTTAATTTCTTGTTGCCCTTTGTTGACCTGGAAGTTGTTAGTCAATTATTTGTTTTAATAAGTTTCTAATGTGTATTGACTTTATAATTATGCTCATTATAGGATGCCAATTAAGCTTTTACTCATCACTCATGCCAGCAGTTTGTCTTCATAATAACCTCTGCAAACATGCTTTGCTCTTCACTTACTTCTGCACTCAACAAGATGCCTCTGCGTGACTGCATTCATCTGCAGAAGGGAACAGCAATGCCCCCCCCCCCCCTTTTTTTTTTTTTTTTCCAGTCGGCTCAACCAGCTAATGAGTGAAATCCTATAAAGAGTCCATTAGCAGAACAATCCACTGTACATGCTTAAGTAATTTCTCAAGAAAACTGGAAAATATGTTGCAGTTTAACCTTCATAATTAGAACATTTTGATGCCTTTTTCGCTCTAAATCGGTATAAATTGAATGTTTTTTGGCTTGATTATAAAGGACCAAGAAGGTGAATGACAGATTGGAATTAAAATACTTTAAAAGTAGACTGAAAAGATGGAATTAGCCACTGTGGCTAATCGCTGTTTTGGTCAGTGTTGTATTCATTAAAGCAGCGGTCCCCAAACTTTTTTGCGCCATGGACCGGTTTGTCAGACAATATTTAAGGTGTAAATACAACAAAGTAAAATGATGCGGCCAAGACAAAAACTGTGGTATTTTGTAAATATAATAATAAATACAAATTCACTGTGTAATTGTGTAACTTTATTAGCAGCGTTCTCCTGAAATGCGCCAACAACAATGAGAGTAACATCCTCCTCTCTGCCCCTTAATGCTCTCTGGTCGCTATGGTGACGTGTAAATATTTCTTTCAAAATAAAACACACAACTATAACACAGGAAAAGACCCAGGGTAACAGAGTTAACCATAAAAACCCTGAAAACCATATATTTCACACACGAGCCTCGCGGCCCGGTACCAAATAACTCACAGACCGGTACCGGTCCATGGCCCAGGGGTTGGGAACCGCTGCATAAAGAATTGTTGTTGTTGTTGTTATAATTGTTGTTGTTGTTGTTGTTGTTGTTGTTGTTAGCCAGCCTCAAGTGGCCATTTGAGGAACTGCATTTTTTGACACTTTGATGTTCGCATCACCGTTAAAGTTGCTGTCCTATGAGTCTATAAAGGAAAAAAGGGAGTTTCAGTTCATTCATGATTTGTACCTCTTACATTTACTTAAATTCGCTCATAAATGTCGAGCACAGAGGAACACCTCGTTGTCAAATATTGACTTTTTAAAATCTTTTCCAGCCTGTGAAACGGTGCCGTCCAATGAACAACAACGCTGGCAAACTGTTCCACTACAGGATCACTGTGTCACCTCCCACCAACTTCCTGGTATAACTTAAAATAAACAACTAGGTTGAATACATGCTAACACATTGTTCTGATTGTTTATATTCACAGCACTCTACCTAAACTGCAGCGCTGTGTTTGCGTGCTCGTGAGACTGTTCTTGTTCTTTTCTGTTCCAGACCGACAGGCCGACAGTGATTGAGTACGATGACCACGAGTACCTGTTTGAAGGCTTCTCTCTCTTCTCCCACACTCCTCTCACTAACGTAAGCCTGCTTTGAATTGTTAGCAGCTCGGGCGGTAAGCCATGAATTTTCCACCACAGCACTCTCAGGTTTTTGACAGTAACAGTGGGTGTCAGTGTAAAGTCATTTTTCTCAGTTATGCTGTTGTGTTTTATAGTTTCTATTTTTATTTATTTACTTGTTCGGAGTCGGCAGTTCCTTTTGCGTTGAGCTTTTCGGAGGCGAGTGTCACACTGGGTTTACTCTATTTTGTTTGTAAGTGTCATGTTAAGCATCACAAAGGTGAAGTATAAGTGTACTGGGTTGGTTACGACTTCCTCATTGACATTTCACCTCGGGGGAGTCTTTTTCTGCACAAATGCTTGATATAGTGTGTTATTCATAGATATGTGCAGCTTCACTAATGACTTAAAGGCCAAAAGGTTGTCTGGTAGAAACAGGATACACAAACCTAAATGCTAAAGTGTTTTTTGTGGATTGTTTCTTTCATTGGTGATATTTTAGGGCTTTTTTTGGAAACTCATTACTAGGATCCTGCTCATTAACCTTAGGGTTGCAAGAGGTATTCACATATACATAAATCTTGCACATCAGTTACCTTGCAGCTACATGAGGTCGAAAACAACAAGAGGAAAAGGAACCACATGTGTAATCTCTGTATATAAAGTCCAGTCACTGAAGTCCATGCAGTTAGAAAACAAAAACACATAAGGGATTTGGGGAAAAATAGCACCTGAGTTTGTGCCATCGTGTAACGGTACATGAAAATACAACGGGGTTTTTTTCCCCCACACCATCTCAATCTTCCCTCATTTCCCCACCTTGCACACCTGATGTGGCTGCATGCAGGGTTTTGCCTTCTTTCACAAAACGAAATGATGTATTAAAGCAGTTGAAAGGTCACTGCTTTAATACATTTGAAGAGATCCAGCGCACATCATTGTGCAAGCAGTCACAATGGAGCTTCCAGAAAGCGATTTAAAAATAGCAGGAAACCCTGGAAGCATGTCAGCGCCACACAAGGAGACTTTGTTCAAGGGGACATCAGCCAAATTAAAATCGGGCATTAGTTTTGATTTATATGGGTGGAGCTGCAGAAGTTTGCAATAGCAAACTGATAGAGTACCCTTCTTAATACATTTTTCTTATTTTTTTTTTTTTTTTATTCCCTTTTCCCTCTTACGTGTGAGCCTGCCTGCTCGAAAGCCTGCGGTTTAAAAAGCCCAGGCCCACGATCAGTTGTGCAGCTCAGTCAGATCTAGATTGCCTGTGATGGGACACTCTCAACCTTCTACGTGTCTGTTGAGGCAACACATCATTTTTTCGTATTTTCAGCATTTAAGTGGACCATCCCTCCTCCTTTTAGCTCCACTCTTGTCAGAAATAACTTCAAATCGACTCTTGGCTTCGGGTCGACTTCTTTGTCGCGTGGACAAAGTGCTCCTCTCTCCCAGGGCTGACCTTGTCACAGAGTCCTCTTGCTCACTTTTGAAGGCCCATCAGTGACTGTCAAACACTAGAGTGGCTGTGATTTGAGAGGAGCCTCTCTTTCTCGCCGTCCCCCAAAGTGGAAGTTTTAAAGAAGAGAGAAATCAGCCGAGGGGATCACCAAACGCCGTTTCTGGAATATTTCCCTCCCCTCTCTACGCATGTGTGTGTTTTTCCTGCACGTTTGAATACTAGAGCACTCTGTCAATATCCCCTCTAGCTTGAAAAGAACCCAGAGGATTAGGCATGATTTGAACTGGATAATTTACGCGGCCCTTGTTAAAAGCTGGGGTAAACTCTTCGTGGCAGTGCGGGGATTAGGAAGCGCAGAGTCTGCTGATATTAGCCCCCTGCTAGTTGGCTGCTGGGATGGGCAAGAATGAAAGTAGCTCCCAGGTTAATCTCTTAAAATGGACCCCTGCGCTCGAACAACAAAGACCGTGTAACTAGGGAGATTAAACACAGAAGAGCAGGCTTATCTATTTAGCATGATTTCAGTTAGTTAATTTTCAAGAGTCAGGTGCTCACGCCTGTGTGAGTGAGTGGGGGGAGAGCACTTGTACATGTGTGTTTGAGTTGCTTGTTTTTTTCCATGTGGTTTCCAAATATTCCAACAGATGTGAGCTAGCTCCACTGAAGACAAAAAAACACCCCAAAAACAAGGTTTTAATGAGTTTCCTTGCAAAGCTGTGACCTCTGCCTAACGCCATGGTAATGAGTCGGTCTGTCCTTTCTTCTTCTCGTCCTTTGCTCCTTTCATCATCACAGATTCCATTGTGCCGTGTGATCCGCTTCAACATAGATTACACCATTCACTTCATAGAGGAGATGGCACCGGAGGTCAGTAAAACCCCACTTTATCTGCCAGCTCTTTTTCTCCCCTTTCTCACCCCTTTTGTTTTTATCTCAAACGGCTGAGACTGAGCGCCGCTGAGCCCCGTGTAACTCTCGCACCTCAGTGCTCGGATGAGTGAAGGTGCTAATCCTTTTAGAAGAGGAAAAAGAGCTTCCTTTTGACCCGCTGAGGGTGATTGTATCAATAAGGTGGCTTATGTGATAAAGTCTCAGAACTGGATTTAGTTATCAATCATATCTACATTATGGGGTAGTCTTTGTGGCTGCATGCTGCTACTGTATATTCACGTGGCGCTGATAACAAACCTCTGCTGTCTCTCGTGTACAGAACTACTGCGTCCGAGGCCTGGAGCTGTTTGCCTCCTACTTGTTCCGGGATATTCTTGAGCTTTATGACTGGAACCTGACAGGTACGATTCCCAAAGCGAGGGCTCGCAATTACACACAGATCACAGAAACTCCCAGCTTTATCGGTGATTGTCGCTTGTAAATTGCAGCGTGTCCTACCAGCATCTCTTACGCATGGGTCACAAAATGAGAGGAAATTATCTCAAATTGCAGCTTGGACGCTACAGAAATACCAAAATGGGCATCTTATTGAATGCCATCCCTTATTTTTATGGAAATATTTTTTGTATATAATAGTTTTGTTTTTTTAAAAGCCTCAATTTGTCTTGTTTTTTGGGGGGTTTTTCTTCGACATAAGTGACCATATTTAGATGAGAGGGTGCTGATGCTTGCAAGGTTTTTTAGCAAACTGCATTCACACAAACTCACACATACAAACCTGCATTAAGAGTTAAAAGGTGGGAATGCACTTTGTTAAAGCAGCCAGCTTGGCTCAATAAAACAAATTCTGACTCACTGAACAAAACAGCTCTGGAAAGTTGAAATCGTACACTAAAGAACTTGTTCAGCTAAATGGAAAATACAAGAAAGCGAAGAGCTCGATAAATCAGATCTAGTATGAGCTTAAATTTAAAATTAATAGAAGTATTGTGGTGTCTGTTATAGATACCACAATGCTTGCACGCAATAGATGTAATAGAAAATGTTGAGCATCTCCAGTAAGTGGTGCAGAGGCTGCTAAGGATCTATTACCATTTGGGTGATGCTTGTATCCACTGATGGAGAATTCCAAACTGTGTTCATGTAAACTGGATTGAAACGGAGCAATTCCCTCAGCCACTATAATGGATGCATTCACACAGCTAGCAGTTCGATAGTTAGTCCACAGAAGCATTTCTTCACAGCAACATGTCTGCGATTACATCGACGTTTAAACCACAACCACTGCAGTCCGTCTGTATTTCTTCTTACTGCTCAGAATAACGTTGCGTGTGAAGCCAGGTACACTGTGGTCCCAGGAAGCGTGAGTGTTTCATCTACACGCCTACACTTAATCAGCCCAACGAGCTCGTTCCGTGTTATTGTCCCGATACCTCCGTGGAACAGCTGTGAAAGGCGGTCATTTCCTTCATAGCTTCTCTGGGATTACAAGCCTCCCTCCTGGTGGTAGAACTGTCAGTGCGATCAGCTGATAGAGATTGGCTATTCCCAAAAGTGTAATCCAATTTTAAAACACTGGTAGGCTTTTAAAACTTCACTGCAAGACAAAAGGTGGCTGTTTCGATCTTGCCTAAAACACAGTGAGCAAGGAAAATCAACCTTATGTTGAAGTCATTAAAAACAACATCATGAGCTGCTGCAACAGACCGCCTCTCAGTGTTTCACTCGCCCAAAGTGGAGCACACCTTTCTCAGATGAGTGCTTCAAGCCCCATCATTTGGTCGGTAGCTGCGTTAAAAATGATCCAAAGGGGAACAGACACCATCGGCAAGAGGTCGATATTTGGAACTCCAGTTTTTCTAATTACGCTTTTTCTTGTTACAGATGAAAATATATATATATTTACTAAAATTCTTCAGGATGGATGCACCAAAGCCTCATCAGGCAGATTATGGCATATTTGTCAAAACTGCCTAAAACTAAATCTTTTTAATGTGATTTTAATTAGTTTTGTACGTACAAACTCATTTGTTAGACTATTTTTCAGTAAACTACAAAGTTTTACGATGACTCGTCTAGTTTTAAGGTTAGCTTTAATCCACTATTATAACGTTGCTGAGACACCTGTCAATCACTATGGGCAAATTTCTAATTTTAAAATTTTAAAAGTAATAATCTTTGACAGGTAAGTTAAAAAAAACAACAACAAAAACAACAAAAAAACAAACAAAAAAAAGAAAACTGTGAAATATATTTTACCACGGGACTCACTTTTAGTGTCAGCCCCCAGTGGCCATTTGAGGAACTGCATTCTGTTATAAACTTACTTGCTGTAATGTTTTCTCGGATGCATATATAGTTGGATAACAAGGCTCATAAAACTAAATAATGGATCTTTTTTGTTGCTTAGTAATAAAGTTATGCTTTCTTCTCTCCTTGGTTAAAATCTGTTGAGAACTGTGTTGAAAGGTGTTTAAAACAATGTAATTTTCCCCATTATTACAACAGCGCTGCATTTTTGATAACAATGTGCACAGATCATGCATTTATATTATACCTGTCAGAGCGATAATGAGGAGATAAGATGGGGGCAGAGAGCATTGGCGACCAACACCTAATCCTATATGAGTTTAACCTTTGCAGTCATTACACATACAGAGAACATTTTAAATATTAAACATAGTAATTCACATTTAGAGTCACATCCATGATATGAAGGAAAAGCTTGAATTCTTATTAATAACTCTTATTTTAAATAATTGGGGTCTTCATTTCAATTTCATAAAGTTAGACTCTTAATAATGAGTGAAAAGCACGTAAGACTGTGTCATTAATAAATGTCTTTTTTCCAGATCCGGAGTCTGACGGGGAGGTCTCTGGATGCCCACGGTTCCATTTCATGCCACGTTTTGTCAGATTTCTGCCCGGTAGGACTCGTCACAGAACCATCTTTTTTTGCCATTTGTCTCCCTCTTGTGGTCTGTAATTCTTAAGCTGTCTCACGTTGCCTAAAACCAAAAAACTCTCCTCCAGCGATATCCACTCAAAGCTTTTACACTCATGGTGATAGTTGTGGTTCGTTCTTGGTAAAATGGCAGATGGAGTTAGTGCCTGAGCCTCTGCGTGTCTGCCTGGTATTCATCTTTGATGCACATGATGGTGCTGGTGCACTATGATATTACCGCGGCGTTTGTCATGACAGCCGTGCCCACCTACTTTCTCTCCATCAAAAAACAATTTCTCTCCCAGTTCTCTCGGCTACAAACACTTATCTGTCTCTTTTACAAAAGCGCCAGAAGACCCAATCCAGTGTTTCTGATGTGATCTGTAAAGGGGAAAGAGGCAGAGAGCAAACAGGGGAGTTACAGTGAGAGCACGATGACGGTGTGTTTGGAATTTAGAGTCGCCGGGTGTGCATTAGTCCTAATGCATCCCGGACTGAGAGGACAGTGGATTTTTTTTTTTTTGGTTTGTGTCCATCTGAAATGGAGGTCAATCAATTTTGCATGAGTGTCTATTAAACTGCCTCTGTTTGACCTGCGTGATTGCACGCATGTGTTCAGCTGTATTTCTCTGCACATGCATATGTGTGTGTGCGGTGCCTCTCAGCTTATTTCTGATCTTGTAATTCAGGGCGGACTGTTATTATAAGCGTGTCATTATGTGCCTTCACGTATCGCGCGCCGTCCGACCTTGCATCAGCTCCCCTGCTCACCTGTGCACTTCCTGAACAGTGCCATTGTAATGCACGGGGACATTTTCACAGTATGTTTTCGCTGAATATTGGCTGAGAAACTGAGAGTTGGCAGAGGTGAGGCGGGTTAGATGTATAAAACAGAGAATATTCTCCAACAGCATTTTTGATTTTTATTTTTTTTTTATACAACAACACATGGATGCTCGGAGAAACAGTTAACCTCCTATAACTGCAGTGAGGCTTTTATATTTTCCTTTTTTTTCCCATTAACTATAAATATCTGTTGAACTCTGTCTTCAGCTTCTATGCATACGTGGCTTTATTAATTTATTTCTTCTTTGTGTTTATGAAATGTCTCAGATGGCGGGAAGGAGGTGCTGTCAATGCATCAGGTGCTGCTCTACCTACTACGCAGCAGCAAGCCCCTGGTCCCTGAGGAGGAGATTGCAGATATGCTGCAGTGGGAGGAGCTGGCGTGGCAGAAGTACGCCGAGGAGTGCAAGGGCATGATCGTCACCAACCCGGGCATGGTGAGGCCCTCGGCTTCTTTGTTACGACACCGAGGTGGCTTTGTCTGACGTTTCAAGGACGTTTGCACGTCCCCTCAGACACTGCAGGAATGAGGCTGCTCCTGTTAGCCTGTGACACGAGCAGCCTCACCTTTTATGCCCAGGGCGTTTGTTGTCATCGGCACTATTACGGCAGGAAGGTTTTTATGTCGCAGTCAAAGTTGGTTAACCTTCTCGTGTGGCCCACATTATGAAGGAGGTACAGAAATTGTGTCTGGGTAAAGGTGAAGATGTCCTTGCTAGCAAGGATGTTGCATATGAGCAGTGAATGTGATTGTGTAACCTTTGGTGTGGGTGAGTTATTGAGTCAACTGCTGTTCCTGGCAGAACTGAATTGTTGCTGTCAGGCTTTCCATACCGTGGGTGTATAATGGTCTTCCATTGCTGCGCTCAACTTAAACGATTAGACCGCCAGTCAAACGAAGTGTATTAAGGAGGTCGTGTCTGGAGCTTTACCCTTTTTGAAGAAAACAGAGTTATCAGAGGCAAGGGTCAAAGCAATGGATCACAACACTCCCAGGAAGCTTTTTCCAATATTGGTGATTGTTTGGATGGCTGATTACAGCCACTTCATTCTCTCTGACCAAGCATGGTTTTAAAATATTTACAGCTCTAAGCCCAGCGCCTTAAGCTTTGATTAAATCACTGCCATTCCTGTGTGTTGTCTGTAAAACATGCTGGAAAATTAATATTTTAAACATGCCAATCACAAGTTCCCCGAGTCCAGGGCAGAGTTTCCAACAGGAAAGTTGTCATGCCCGGCGGCTGCGATTGGTCGGGGATGAGAGTTCAGTCAGTGTAGCGCTAGCAGCTGTGCACGTGCTCGGTGGGTGACGGGCGTGAACTCACCTCAGGGTGTTTATTTCCCACTTCCAGGTTAAAGATAAAATGACGAAGGCTCTACCAGCAGTGGTACATCGAATCAAGTTTAACCTTGTTGAGATGCAGCCATGAATAACTTGGCACTCTGGCTGCACATGTTAACTAAACCAATCAGCTGAGCAGGCAAAACATATGAACTCATAATACCCTTTGTTTTTTACACTTGCACTTTCTTCAGGCTGTTGCTTCTGGATTTATTTCTTTTTAATCTCCCGCTGTGAGGCCTGGCAAGGGTCAATTTAGGCCCGCCACTCTGTAGCAAGGAGGAGAGGGAGGAAAGAGAAGCTGAAGGCCTTATTATCCCAGATGTTTTGTAACAGCAGCCAAAACACACATTATGTCAGTTTATGAAATGCCTCCCACCTGAACATCTCAGATTTATCTTAAAAAAAATTCCCTGTTACGCACAATTTCAGGCTCCTGCTGTTATTAGTTTTCTCCAAAATACTTTTCAAGGCATGGCAGTCGCATCTTTTTAGGAGCCATTTTCAATTTCATTATCTCGAAAACTACTTGCACTCGGTCATTCGAATGTTTTAGGGTAAATACCTGGTACTGTGGCTCTATGAATATGGACTCTCAGCAGTGTCAGCTTAACAGAGAATGATGGATGCTTTAAATTTGATCTCTGACAGCAAATTTAAAGGCCTGCAGAAACCACATTTTTGCAGGCAGGGGACTGATATTTGATTTACAGCTTCTCATAAACAAGGACCTAACTTTTTTTTCTTTTAAAACAGTCCAAATCTGCTGAATGATTTTGCAGATATTAAGTGTATAATATGGAAACTTCACTGTGATATTCCCCAGGAATGACACCATGTGCCAGCTCCACGTGAACTTTTTTAGAAAGAGCAAGATTGTGTTAATGTTATGCTCAAAATTTGTGATGTTTCTCTCTCGTTTTCCCCAGTATGAATTTTTGAAATACTCTTATGAGTGTAGCAGCCAATGAGCTGTGAGACCACATTCACAGAGCCATATAATCAGATATTTATCCTGAAAAACAGGAACAACCTAGCTTAAGTCGTCATGCATAATTACTTTAAGGAAGTGAATCTTTCCCCTCGACTTCTTTCAGATAAATCTGAGGTGGGAAGTTTCTGTTAAATCCAAAATAAAGTAACAGCGCAGTAAAATGGAGTATAATAAAAGAGAAGTGTTGAATGAAATAAAAGCAGCTTTAAAAATACTTAAATAGAACAAAATGGCTCAATCAATTATAAAAAAAAACAGAAGTGGGAAAGTTTACTAAATGTAGTAGAGAACAAGCACAGCAAATAGCAGATGGCAATAAAGTGGCTCATTATACACACAGTTTAAACTGCAGCTAACATTGCAATTAAGTTGGAAAAATACACTGTAACCAGGCATTTTTATCAATAGATTAATTAAACCAAACCAGCGGCATTCTCATTTCCGTCAGTCACATAATTGATAGCAAACACAAGTGTTTTCTTGCAGGTATTTAAGTGTAAACCATACAGCGCTCCCTAATCAATAAAAATGTCCTTTCAGGGCTAAGTGGTGTAGGTCAGCCCGTCCGTACTGTCGCTCTGTGAAAAGCCCTCACCTGCTGCGTTACACCAAGGTCACATGCTGCTCCGAGTGAAAGCATCCGATGCCAATCACGCAAGGCTCCCCTGACGCCATCACCTTTCAATCTGTTACGGTGAATTAAAGCATAGGTGGTGGAGCTGAGGACACTAAATGGCCTAAGATCTGTGAATTAGCATTTACAGTGTATTTGTCGGGATTGTAAACAGGGCAATCACGCCGCCAATCAAACCTGATTATGTCGCTTTAACGGCACAATCAAAGTTGCCTGCCGACCTCTCGCTCTCTAATCAAAGTTAGCATGCAGGCGGCGACGGGCGGACGCGGCTAATGTCAAGGTGAGCGCAGGCCTCCAGCCATCTGCCATGCAGATCAGCGCTCCTTATGCCGCGGCCCCTTCCTCTGATCCCACCACACGCCTGACAGGCTAACTGTGATTTGGGAGTCGGCCGAGGACATGTTGCCTGTCAATCTCCTCCCCGATAAGAGCGTCAGAAGTTAGCTCGCCATCCCCGGCATCGCTTTATCATTGTTGCGCTCACGCTACGAGCACAATCTGGGCCTCATCTCATTATGCGCCTGTGACAGATGACCCTTGTTGGGTGGATTATTTTTTATTTCACATGCTGGCAGCAGGTGACTGATTGATGGTTGCCCGGTAGCTATGTAAATATGTTTCTCCTCGCTGTGCTGACTTCTTTGTTTTTCTCCCCCCCCGCAGAAACCGAGCTCTGTGCGCATCGACCAACTGGACAGGGAGCAGTTCAACCCAGACGTCATCACTTTCCCCATCATCGTTCATTTTGGGATACGGCCCGCGCAGTTAAGCTACGCTGGAGACCCCCAGTAAGGCCGCCGACATGCACAGATAAATATCTTCCCCCGCTGCTCACCGGCCCCCTCGTTCCCACCGCTCCTCGTTCGTTCGGTGGCGAGAGAAGAACCGGCGGCGTTGCACGTCAAGGAAAGACGAGAGCAGCGTATGTCGAAGAGGAGGGGCGCTAGCTGAAGGGGAGGAAGAGGAAGAGAAAACGAGTGGCGTGACATTTTTACATGCGTCGTCACGGGTCCCGGGTTTCCGCTGGGTGCCTCCGCGGCGGGAGCTGGCGCGGTTTGTCTCGTGAATAGTAATGCAACATACACGCACCGGAGGGCTTGCAGTAGGGAATACTGTACTGTGCCGCTGCATAATTAACAAAAGCAGTGTATTAGATCATGTGAGCGGCAGTCTCTGAGGTGTTCAAAGAGATGCGACAACATCGCTAATCAAAAGTCGGCACACAACTCCTGCACTCTGATGCTAAATTTAAACCTGTGGCTTTCTTTTTTAACTCAAATGTCTGGTTTAAAGCGTAACAGTCAGGGGGAGGTGCGGGAGGAAAATGGTGGTGATGAAGATGCAAACAAGAGGATGATCATTAGGGAATCCATTTAGGCAGAACTAGTTTGCTTCTTCCCTCTGACTAATGTCCCCTCTCCCCTGCTGCCACGTTTTAGCAGTCTGTCCACTGAGCACTTTCATCCCCGTGCACCCTGCTGCCATGTCAAACTTCTCAAAGCGGCAGACAACGACAAATTTATGGATGGATTGGGACATCATTAGCCGATGCAGAAACGAGTAGTAAGAGACCAGCGGAAAGGATTTCCTACCACTGCTAATGATGCGTGTAGCGAGGGCAGGAGTCGGTGTTGATTGCGGCTGCAGCAATGCCACAGAGAGGGAGTCTTGGACACAGCAGCAGCATATATTAACTCGGGAGACTGAAGATGCTGTGTTGTCGTCTTCCCTCCGCGCCGACCGCTGGACACGTGCGCTCGGGGGCTGCCACTCGAGCTACCCCAGCTCGACCAATGAGGCAGGAGTGATGGCATGACAGAGGTCAGGAGATGTATAGAAAAGCAGGAGCGACACACACGGGGGAGAAGGGGTAAAAAACTATGCAGAGGAGGCGGAAGCCCTCTTTCAGAAAAGCCCTCAAACGTGCTGTCGGGTTCTCATGTCGGTCTCGCTGAATAACTACAACGCCGCCAGCGTGGCTCGAGTTTGAACCGAACGCCGTCACGTTCATGCCTCGCTGATGTACGGCTTCAGAGTGGCAGAGTCTCTTGTCACTCATGAGCCTGAAGCTGAGCTCATAATTTGCATACCGAGCCGTGATTGGGCCGTTTTCTCCTGACACTGACAGTGACACCGTACTGACACAGTGTTTCCATGCATCATTTTTCTTATCCGTGCCTGCGTAGCTCACTGCAGTTACATTTCACAGAACGCAAAAGCGGCTGTCTTTATTTTTAAATGGGTTTTCCAAACGTTTAAGGAGAATGGAAATAAAACGGTGCACAGTGTTTGATGAGGAAAGCAAAATGAAGTTGATTTGATGCTGTCAGGTCCTGTAATGCTGAAGGCTTCTCATTTTTCTCAGATGACTGGGAGTCAAGTCTTTGGTCTGAAAAGGCAAAGAGTGCAATGTAAAGACTAAAGCAACAGAAACGTAAAGAAATAAAGGAATTTATACACTTTCTTTACAATAAATGACCTTTTTTAAACACAAATATATAAAACTTATATTTTCCCCCATTAAAAGTTTTAATATTTACGATGTTTAATGGATTAAAATTGTCTACTTTTATTTTTTTTGATTTAACCATGGAGCAGCTTCATGCATTGGGAGCCTTGAGCTTGTTTCATGGCTTCATTAGCTGTCTGGTCGCCACTTATTTTACAGAGCATTTGAATCACCTGTTGAGATGAACCATTGATTTCAGTAAGATTGTTGATCTTTTCTTTTAAATGCAGCTTTCTTTTTGTTGGCACTCTGACACTCTTCTGGTGTCTCATCTTTGGCTCTTTCTCGCTTTTCAAAGAAGCTCTTCAGCGACAGGGTTAGTTTGTAGACTTACTGATGCATGGAGGGAAAAAAATCGGACTGAGATACTGTAAGTGCGGGCAGAACGGCTTGAAAAGACAATCGGTTTAACGCAAAAGTTGAAATGAGATGCAGCATGTGAAAACCAGGCTAAAATAATACATTTTTTAAATTGTTTTCATGTTTCTGTAAATAGTTTTGTTATTTTTCTATGAATTTAGATTATTTTGGTTTAGCACATAGTCACCTATAACAGGTTGTTTGGCTAAAGAAGGAAAAGTTACTAATGGATGAATTATACTTCAGCGGGAAATCTACGTTACAACGTAGTCGGAAACTATTCTTGACTCTAACCTAACCGTAACCTGATGTGGAACTTCCGAAATATAAGAAATTATGACCAAACAAATAACATGTATAAAAACCTGCAGACCAGCGCGTTTGACAAGATCGAGAGAAGAGAATCATAAAGCTACTGCATCCAGCTGTAAGCTGCAGTCATGCTGCTTTCTCCTTTTTCTCCATCACCTCACACACACACGAACGTCAGCATGTGAAGTAAAATAATAAACTTAAACTGTTTACAATCACCTGTGCACCCTTAGCCAAGTGTCCCTCTAGCTTCTACCCTAAGTCTTTCTGACTGAATAAAGCTTTGTCTTATCTCAGCTTTTCAGTCATGTCAAACTCCTTAAAAACAGTTAAAAAAAACCAAAATGTATAAATAAATCTGTTGGTGTATCAGGTGTAAAATCCCTCCAAACTGCTGCTGCTGTGCTGCTAACTTCCTTCTATATAGTGCTCCTACTAGCTGCTGCAGTCCTGGAAACAAAGAGGCAAACACAGTTAAATGGATCAGTTTGTGTGGATGGTTTATTGAGTAAGGATCGGACTAATATCTGATCAATGCGTCCCTATCGTTGTGTCTTATCTGCACCTTAAAGCGCTCTGGAGCGTATTTACAAACCAGAAGAGACAGTCGTCCCACTCTGGGCCTTCGTAAAAGGGGTGTGGACAGCTGCTCCACCATGCAGCACCCAGATACAGAGACGGTGGTGTTAGGCCAATATTACAAGTATTGTACTTCATCATTGTAGTGGGTATATGAAAGAGCAAAGTAAACATAAAAGTCACTTTTCACTTCCCAGATTTTTCCACACTGTTCTTAAAATTCCACTGTGGAATTTTGAAGCCGGAAAGCTGTGTTTGAATGCCAAAACGCCATTACTGTAACAGATAGATGAAGCCAGCAGTGGTCTACATTTGAAAAGGGCTGGAGATGGGGGAGGAAGGGGAGGGGGCGGTTGAAGAGAAAGAAAGAGGCAGCATATGCTAATGAAAGCATGTGCAGGGAATGGCGAGAGCCGCGGCAGCGCTACCCTGAGAGCACACAGCAGATCTGTGGAAAGGTCATTGGAGCGGATTGGGGACGAGGGGGCCTCCCAGGCTGGATAGACTCTCTCTCTCTCTCCATCTCGCTCTCCCTTTCTTCCTCTCCGTCTCTCGTCCGAGCGGGGCTTCTGTGCGGAGGTGCTGGTGAGCTGATAATCGGGGCGGTAAAGCCGCCTCATTCCCTCGTCTCAGTCTCTAATGAAGTCCCCGCTATTAAAGCTCTATAATTCTTCTGTTCCACAGTATACCCCCCACCCCATCACCACCACCTCCCTCCTCATCCTCCACCCTTCCTTCCTTCCTCCTCTCTCTCCCTCACTCCTTCTGTCATTTTATGCCACTCTCCCTGTCAGCGCGCCATCCTGTCCCCCAAGCCCCTCCATCCCACCAATCATAATTGAATAACTCTGGGTAAATGAGGAGAAAGTCTCCTGAATGGGAGCAGAACGGTCACACCCGGCCCTTGGTGCATCAATCAGGGGGTCTGATTGAAAAGAGAGGGAGAGAGGAAGCGAGAGAGAGGGGGGAGGTGGTTGGTATCATGGCTACATGTCACCTTGCCGATAACTCCGTGCCTCTTTTCAGATGCAAATGAGAAGAAAGACAATAGAGTTTTATAGAAAATGAGAATGAGGTTGCGAGATAACTCGAGCCAGTGTCACGTCTGTTCCCTTTTTTTTTTCGTTCTTTTTTACGACGTGAGCAGAAAATTGTGAGTATCTGTGTGTGTGTGTGTGTGAACTTCTGCCCACAGCTCAAACAGTGGACATCTGAAACACTGACTCTTCTGTGTCCACTGCCCCTCACACACAAGCAGCTGATGCAACAGTGGCTGCTGGCTGCTGTTAAATTATGTTTGATATCAGGCAAGCTTCAAATGAAATATTGATGTGTTGTTGCAAAGGATGGAAACAGAGAGTGAAAGAGAGAGGGTGGACTTGTCAGCATGTCACCTCCTTATTTACCGTCCGCAGGTATCAGAAGCTGTGGAAGAGCTACGTGAAACTACGCCACCTGCTGGCCAACAGCCCCAAGGTCAGGCAGATCGACAAGCAGAAGATGACACAGAGAGAGGTGGGTGAAAGAAAACAAAACCGCCTTTGATATGTATTTTTTTGTTTCTTTTCTCACACTCATAATTTATCAGTAGAAGGCGCTTTCAGTGGAAGCGCGTGTCCTGGAGATATGAAAGGTGCTGCTGCAACACTGGCGCTCTTACTCTCTCTGCAGAAGTAAGAGATTCGCAGATATTAATTACAAAAACAAAACTATTACCATTGCTATTATTCCTGCTGTGCGCACTGATTCAAAAGCTGCTTATCGGAAACTCCCTGCCAGTACTCGCCATTATTGCGGTAACAAAGATGCTATTTCACTCAACAAAAGTGAGATGTTCAAAACTTACAAAGGCAGCAATATTTGATTCTTTTTGTTAGTTTTTTTTGTTGTTGTTGTTAAGAAAACGTAGCCACACTTTGTTGCATTTAATGCTTTTTTTTTTTGTAGCAGAGGTAATTTTCTACACATTAATACCTGGAGTTTTTCAAATTATGTTATTTTTGTGTGTGAATATCAGACTTAAAGTGGTTGCTTTTACTTAAAGCGTAACTTTACCGCTGATTAAACAGTCCAATTGTCCAGCCAACGCGAGGATATTTAGTCATTTTTTATTGTTAAACTATTATTTTGGCCATTTCAAGCTTTTTCATAGTTTCTGATATTTTTTCTTATGTTGCTAAAGTTTTGCACTGTCGAACGATGGTGCACTGAAGAACAGAGCAACATTAAAAGTTTGCACTATATTACTACCTTTCTCACTCTTCGCACCTTCTCTTCCACTTTATCTGTTTTAACTCCTTTGTCTTTATTTTGACGACTCACATTTGTTTTATTTAATTCAGTCAGGTGACCAGATCACCTGGGCTCTAGCATGCCTCTGTGCATACAGACCATTGAAGCGTCCCATCCTAATGCACTTCCTGTGTTCTGGGCTAAAATTCAACTTTTCTGCAGTCTGAGTCTCACGAGTCGAGGTATTATCGGTGCACCTGAATATTGTTTTATGACAGATGTGAAAAATGCGACGCCACCCTTTAATGCATAATTTAGTTGATTTTTACTGCTCAAAATAAAACGCCTGTAACTGCGCTCTCGAGTTGACTGTGAAGGTCAAACCTCCACCTGGGAGCAGGAGTGGAAAAGGTTTAGGTTTAGTGAAGTAATAACCGTGTAGCCACGGGGATTCATGGGGTGGTGGTGCTGTGTGAGAGTGTGTGGGGCCTGGGCAAGCCGAGAACAAGCACCTTGCCACACTGCATCCTTCTCACAACTTCTCTACAGCAGACACAGCTTCTCCTCTAATTCTTTGAGTGTGCTGCAGATCCAGCCTCTTCCTTTGGACTGTTTGATACACTCTGGACCAATAATGAGCGAGAACTCGGAGCTCAATTAGCTCGTTTCCCAGGTAGCTCGGCAAAGCTCCCCGGCTAACAGGCCCTGACAATCCCACTGTCAACCTGCACTGGAGCAATTAGTGAACCCAAACAGTGGATCCATCATGCTCCTCCAGCAGCATTAGCCATGTCAGTGTCTCCTCACTGCAGTGGCAGTGTGGCACCGCTATTTACTTAATGCCCGAGGGAACACTGAAGCTTCCTCTGTAAATGGTCGTTCACTGACAGACTAAATGTCTGCTCATCTGATAGGCATTTTAAGAAGCACCCTGTCAGAGGTGTTGTGCGCCTCAGACGGGCCCTTTGATACTTCCGCACTCCCCCTGAAGTCCGCAGAGCTCCGGGGAGAGCAGAGGTGTGGCAAAAACTGGCCTACACACCCTGGCTCACGCCTCTGCGCCCCCTCTGCATCTCATGCTGAGAGCACAGAGGTGTGTGTGTGTGTGTGTGTGTGTGTGTGTGTGTGTGCGTGTGTGTCTGTCAGACATGCAGGCTGGCTGTGTTGCCCAGATGGACTTTGTGGCATCCCCTTAGCCAAACCACTGACCGGTCCTCAAAACCATTCACACAACAACGCTGTCGTATTTTTTTGCAGTGATTGTTTGCAATATAAATAAAGTTTTTGGTTAAAATTGTTCCCAACATAGAGCGAATAGGTGAAGTGTGTTATAAGATATTATTTGTCTCTGTATTAGAAATGAAAGAAAATGAAATACAGAACTGTGCTACTTTATTATCTCATATCTCTAATTTGAATAAGTATTCAGCCCCGAGTCAGTGCTTTGACAGTGGATTCAGCTTCGAGTCTTCTCTATCAGCTCGGCGTATGTGGATTTGGGGATTTGCTCCGATTCTTCTTTTGCAGCATCTTCGCAAAGCTATCTTAAACTCACTCCACAGATTTTTTTGTTGGTTTCGAGTCTGAGCTTCAGCTCGGCCACACAAGAACTTAACGCTCTCTTTCCTCAGTACGTTTCAGCATCGACAGGGATGTGCTCTTAAGGATGTCTCTACCCAGTTTTCAGACTGCGGCTCTCTTTACTTTATTCTTTTGGTTCTTTAAAATGGACCTGCTATGTTTTTGCCTTATTTTCTGTCATGCATATATATATTGCTACATTGGTGGATGCTAAAATTAAACATGACTGAGGTTTCAAATAAAGAGGTCAGTGCATGTCAAAGTAATCCCTGTGGGCCAAAAGCTCAGGCATCAGACTGCTCTAAACACACCGTTTCAGACAGTAAATCACCCTTTAGATTATATCTTGTTTGGATTATTTGGATTATGGGTTAAGTACATTGAACCTCTGTAGAAACAGAGATTTTACCCAGAAGAACAGGCACCAATCATCGAACGTAACATTAGGTTAGACTGCAAAATTCAGCCTGTGATGGTGGCACATCAGCTGATCTCATTACCATAGCATTATGATGTCTCTGCAAACCAGCTTGCAACCCACCCTTAACCTTTGCTACTGCTAGTCATGTTATTTTTGACTCGATAGTATCTGCTGTGCTCTGTTCTGTATTGGGCAGTCTTCCTTCTCCCCCCCCCCACCTCATCTGGCTTCTTGCTCCGCATACCCACAGGTGGAACACAACAAGACCATAAACGTGGGGTAATTACTGTAGTGGTCTGGACTAAAGAAGGTAGCACAGCAAAGTTTAATAAAGAATCACTGGTATTCATTATCAGCATTCCTGCACATCTTATGGAAATTAGGGCATCAGCTCTAGCAAATCATATGCTGGATGACCTAAAATTGCAAAAGCTTTAATCTTCCTGCTTTGTACTGGAAACAATATGGTAGGAATAAGCTACAGGGCCCTAAATGAACCAGCAAAAGCTGAAGTAAATGGTGCACACAAGCTACGGATGTGCACTTGCCTTCCACAGTCATTGAATTTCAGACAGTGTCTTTGGTGTTTGACCTCAGCCTGTTCCAAAAACACAAACACTCTTCACAGCAGAAGAGTATGATGATAAAAGTCAAATGTGCCATGACTCGTCTCTTTGACCAGCAGAAAGTTACGTGTCATCTCCTTCCCACACTGGTTAATTATTTACTTTTTGTGCTTCTCGCTCAAATTTTCGTCCTGCAAAAATGAAGCATTTACATATCATTCGCACTTCTCTGTGATTACTGCTTTCCATATACAGTGGTTGGCTGTCCATGGAAAGTGTGTGTGTGTGGTTGCACATGCACTTGTGCGCGTGGGTGACGGTGTTCACTTTGATGCACAGTTCAAAGTAGGATGGCATTATTTATTCATGCCTTTGTTGTTCTTATTTCCTCTGCGAGTCGAAAATTCCTGGCGTTCCATTTTAGGCAGATCACGGCTAACTCAGACAGAGTCGATAGCGTCTCCGCTGAATGAAATGCATGCGCACGCACATTTAGGAGGTGCTGTCTGTCAATACGTCTTCCATCTTGGTTGTTATTTGTAGGACCTCTTATCTCAGACTCAAACTCTCCTTTTACTCTGCTGAATCTGCTGTAGGGCTGACATGTTTGTCTGTTTGTGTGTCTGTAATGATTCCTGGTGTTGCTGATGGAGGTACCTCTAGGCTCTGGTGTGGTGGGCCTAATGGGCAGGCAGGTGCCTCAGCTCTTGGTTGCAGCGACTGAAGCCTCATCATCAGCTTTCTTACACCCAGGAGCACCACAACCACCACTCCCCACAGCCATGCTGACCTACGGCAGCGCCTCAATTAGCTAGAACCAGCAAAGCTGTCACTTTTCTTCTTGCTGCTGTCTGCTGCTATGCTATATGTGTATCCTGCCATGGAGGTTTCAGATTATTACATGTGCTAGCCTATCTGTTGGAAAAGCAAGAGTCAAAGAAAGGGGGGAGCGAGGGTGGGGTGAGGTTTTGAGGATGGGAGCTGTCCCCGTAGGCTGTGCTCCAGTGGATCAATAATTGACTGGCTGGTTGTTTGGCAGGAAGCTCTTCAGAAGATCCGTCAGAAGAACACGATGCGCCGAGAGGTCACAGTGGAGCTCAGCAGTCAGGGCTTCTGGAAGACTGGCATCCGCTCCGACGTCTGTCAGGTAACGCCACTCAATTGTATGCATGCACATACAGCGCCGATTCCATGGATCGAACAAACGAATGTACACATTGTTTCACAGTTACATAACAATGAAGCATAACACCCTGGTGCTTTTAAAAGTAAAGAGATTCAAAACATCCTTTAATGCACTCCAGAGAGACAAGTATAAACAATCTTTTAAAACAAAGATTTATATATATATATTTCTAACAAGACTGAATAGGATACTAAATAAAGATTATTTCAATTACAGACTTTTTTTTTTTTTTTTTAATTCTATAGTAAAGAGAAAAAACCCCATTTACCTTAAATTCAAAAAAATCCCCAAATTCAAGAAGCTGAAAGCACAGAGTGTGGAGCATTTTCATTCAAGAATGAAAGAATCAACTTTGTAAGTGGACTGGTTTTTATATAGTGCTTTTCTCAAGCATTAGAATCCCTTTTACTGGAAGCCACAATCACCCATACAGTGCTTTATTCTGTGCCTTTAAACACTTTGTACCTATCAAATAAATGCACACTCACGCACTGATGGATGCATCAGGGTCCATTTGAGATTTGGTTTGTTGCCCAAGGATCTGCAGACTGGTGGAACCAGGAATCAAACCACAGCTACTTATAACACTTGTTGCTGACTGACACGGAAAAGCAAGGCAGCTAAATCCTACCCATCATTGTCAAATTAAATAGACAATAATGCTTTAGTATTCTTGGAGTTTTGACTGTACTATAGACAGCTTTAATAGCAGGGAGGGCGGGTTTATAGGCAAAAACATATTAATGACTGTACTTAGACATGGAAGAGAAGGAGAACTGCGAAGTTATCAGTTAATACTATTAGGGTTGGTTAGCAAGGTGCATTCACAGACTATACAGATACAGCTACTGGCACTAGCTTCAGTTAATATGCAAAGGAAATACGCAACATTTATCCATCAAAACTGGTGTGCATCCTTCTTGGATGGTTTCTTAGTACAACTAGCCACACACCAAGTCATACAATCTGTCAAATAATCGGATTAACATGATCAGAAATGGCAAATAGATCTGTGACGCTACATGGTACAGGTTAGAGTGGACCCAAATCATTTTTTTTGTAGCAGGCACTGTTTTATGCCTGCTCTATAGGCAGAGTATTTTAACGTGGGATTCTACTTTGCATTGTTTTCGTCTCTATGGACTGTTTTCCTCTGTAATTACATGTTTTTTAGTGCCACCTTCTGAGTTTAGCTACAGTTTAGCTAACGTTTGTCTAAATCTTGTCTACGTTATATCTGTTAACAATGTAAGTGCAATAGTTTCAGGGTACAAAGTTAAATGCTCGCTTTGTATGCTCGTGGCAGTTGGCTGCCCCTCCCTGAGTTTAGTTAAACACGAGGTCTCTTCCTGTTAAAAGGGAGTTCTTCCTTCTCACTGTCGCCGACTCCTTGTTATTTACCCTGCAACGTGAAGCCACTTAAAGCAGCTGCTGTTGTGCATTGGCTGTGTATAAATAAAACTGAATTTGTATTTAAAACCAAAAAGCAAACATAGTCACTAGAAGTTGGACACATGCACATATTGCAGTGGCTCCACTCAGACGGACACGTCCACTGCACAGCCACAGCCGCACACCCTTCTCTTCTTTCCACACATTGCGTCACTTCTCCATTCAAGTGTCAAAATCTGTGTAGGCAAAGCGTACTCCCACAGAGCCGCAGCGGTAGCCATACCTTTCATTAAGTAACGACTCCGACTGGACAGCTTATTTATATGCCACTTGACTGTCACTCGGCATTTCATGCACTTTTAACAGCAAAAAAATATATTTAGGATGGATTCTTATTTTTATCGTAACTGTAGCTCATTTTCTAGGAAGCGGAGCAGCATGTTCAACTTGCACTTGGATGTGTGCACGCGATTTCGAACGGGCAGAACTAATGAGACTTGAACCATAACCCTGAATGTGTAAGCAGCGCGCTGTGCCCACTGAAACAGAGCGCTTCGTGTGCTCATGCACTACATTGATAGTCAGTGTAATGATATAGCTAAGTCTGTTTGAGTGCATTTTTTATTTATTGTCTATTCTAGGATCTTTTTTGTCTTAAACTTCTTACTGAAAAGATAATTGGCATCAGCGTAGCACGTATTATTCTCTCGGCACACCCACTATCAATGTAGTGCAGTGAAAGTATCCTACAGCTGATGCTGCTGCTCACATTTGGAGAGGAATGACAGAATGTTCTAGCCGTGCAAGCCAGACCTCTCTTACAGCAAGGTCTAGCAAAGAAGAATCCGATCCATAATTGCTGTCCAATTATATTTGCTTCAAGCTGTACCGCTACGACTAATTGCTTCATGAATAATTTCAGTCCGAACTGCAGCGGTACAGTCTACACAACATGTGACACAGACAATAGATAGCTGCAAAACTGACCCATAGTTTCTCGATTTTAAAAGCAGACTTCGTCTTTTTTTTTTTTTTTTTTTTTCCCGGAGCAAAATCAACCCCCTTGTTACAAACATCGTTCGGCAACACCAAGGTTGTTTCACTTGAAAGGCTCTGTCAAGGACCGGGCTGCACATCGGGGGCAGAGATGGGACTTATTTATTCATCACAATTTTATTTTATGTTCATATTTTTTTTTTTTTTTTTTTTTTGTTCACTGCCTTTTTTCTCACTCTTTTGTTTTCTGTTCTTTTTGGCTCCCTGATCACATTTATGTTCAGTCAGACAGTCAAAAACATTTCAAAGGGAAGTCTGTTTTTCTTTTTCTACAGTGGAGAGAATAAGTGTGGGCGGGTCTATGTTTTCTGCAGCAATTACTTAGTGTATATATATATATATTAATCCACCTACTTATAAATTATATAACTAAGGCAAAGCATGGAGAAATACAACTGTATCAGCTGTGTTAGGGGTAGGTAATAAAGCTCGCCTGCAAAGGTGAATTTCTGCAGTAGTTTACGTTGCACAATATATACAGCCTAATAAAATCTGTGGAAGCACTGTAAACCAGAGGCCTTTCACTCACATCACACATGGCTCAATGTGCATCAAAATAAATGAGCCTATCAACGAAAAGAAACAGGAAGCATAGGTGGTTAGACAGCGGTTAGCGCTGTCGCCTCACAGCAGTCCCGGTTTGCAGTGTTCTCCCTGTACATGCCAAGACACGCTGTTCAATTCATAATTCTCAATGTATTCTCTCTGCTTTCTGCCTCACTAGCCAAGTTGCTGTTAATTTAACAAAATTGTTATTTAATGATTAATTAAGTAGCTCTACCGGCTGTGATTCAGGAGGTAGAGGGGGTCATCTGCTAATCAGAAGACTAGTTGGTTACTCAGCTCCTCCAGACCACATGTTGAAGCGTCTTTGGGCAAGACGGTGAAACGCAAATTGGTCGTGATGCATCCGTCAGAGAAAAGCCAAAATGTGCTGGGTTTGAATTTAGCCCTTGAGTGGGTGCTCTGGCTTCCTCACACAGTCCAAAGAGATGCACGATAGGGTTGCTGACTCTGTGTTAGTCCCGTGATGGCGACTCTTCCAGGGTCTACCTAGGCTCATGCACTGTGAAAGCTGGGTTAGTCTCCACCCAACCAGCTCCAGCTCTGCCGTCTTGCACTGTAGCTTCTGATGGTAGTCCTTCAGATCTGCATTTCTCCACCCACCGTAGGTTCTGATTGGATTGCGCAAACAGCAGATCACAAAAGCGAGAGCTGTAGTCCAAGACGCTAAAGTAGAAACAAAAGCTGGAAAAGAGCATGTCTAGCATGGAGTTATCCTTTTGTAAATCGATAATAGGTGGTATAAATCTCTCCAACGCATAATTATATAACTTTTTTTTATCGCTAAAATGAGGTGCCAAATATGCTTGGGTGGAAGATAATAAACCTGACTGGCTTCCCAGAGTAAAGCCTTGGTGTGGAGTCGTGCTTGTAATACTTAAATCAAAGAAAAAGTGAATTCAGGCTGCTGGCCTGGTTGGAAGGTGTCCAAAATACCCAAACGTCACCCGTGACAGTAAATTAGGAATTTCTCACCTTTTAATTAGTGGCGTATCAACTCTCTAACAAGCCCCCACCCTGCCTTTGTGAACACAGAGACATACTCAGTCACTCAGGCAGTCGTAAGAACAGGTCAGGAGCAGCAGACATGACCGGGCCCCGGCTTTGTTTAATTGGCTGCTTAACAAGGCCCGGGGACTGTGTCACCACGGCCCCTGTGATGGCCCCAGGGCTACGTGGCAGCACCGCTTGTAGCCGCCGGGCCTCGGGCTCACCCTCCCCAGTAGCACTAATTAAAACATGCACGGCTCCTTCTTCTCTCATGTGGTGGCACAGGGTTAATGTGTGTACACCAGCCTTTGTTACAGTTTCTCAGTCACTCCGAGGGGAAGACTTGATAAGCCTCGGCTAATGATTCCGCAGATTGGCTCTGCAGACTGCCGAGCTCAGTATCCGACCACCGACTGTTTCGCTTTAACTCCCACTTTTCTTGTCACATTCCCCTCACTCGCAGCTCATCCTCCAACCCCGCCCTGCCCTTGACTTTTCTTTTACTTTGTTGCACTCAAACTTTTTTCTTTTCATATGTGAGGGTCAGCGGGGGCTGTCAGCGTTTGTTCCAATGTAAGTGTGTCAACATGTCAGAATGGGCTTCGATTTTGACTGTCCTGTCCAAATGTGAATTTCCCCCATCTCTGTCATTCCCTCTCGCTCTACAGCAATTGGGTTTTTGATTATTTCATCTCTCTGTTGCAGAGCACCACTTAATAAATAATGACTGGCTGATTGATTTCTCCCTCCCCGTTCCCTCCATCAACCCTCTCCCATTCTTTCTCCCAATCTCTTCATCACACTTGCTCTCAAAACACGCTCCCTTCACTTTTCTTTCATATACGCCATGATCCTTGTTCTCTGCCTCTTCCTGTTACTTGAGATTTTCTATTTTTTTCTTCCTCTCCTGTCTTCCTTTCTTACCCTGCTTGTCAATTCTCTCTGTCCTCCACAGCACGCCATGATGCTCCCCGTTCTCACCCATCATATCCGCTACCACCAGTGTCTCATGCATCTGGATAAGCTCATCGCCTATGTCTTCAAGGAGCGCTGCCTCCTTCAGGTAAGAATCTGTCATGACTGTTTGATGTGACTGTGAAGGCCTGTCCCAAGCTTACTTAAAGGCTGGCATAGATGATAACTAACAAGATAGATAACATTAGGCGAATCCGTGCAGTGCTTTCAGGCGGTGCACAGTCTACAGGTTAGATAGGCCGATAAAAAAGTAAACATTCTGTGCAGGAGCTTGTTATGCACAGAGATCCAGGGAGGCAGCGTTTCCCCTCATTACTGTGCCCGATCCACCTCTGCAGGGATAGTTCAGGTGGAAACAGGGGCTCAGGAGTCAGCTAGGGTAACACACACACTGGCCTGAGTCATATCTCTGCAGTGAGCAGCCCAGGTCTGCTGTGAGTTGCAGTGACAGTAGTCAGGACAACGACAGCCTCCTCCGTAATGCCAGCTCTCCCCTGTCAGGTCCACAGCCTCAAGCTGTGTGCTCTCAGAGTGAGCTCCACGGCTGCCTCCAGCAATATTGAAGAGCTGTCATAACCTGATACATTAGAAATCAATGTGTTGTAGCCTATACATAGTTAAAAAGGGGAAGGATGCATTAAGATTCGCTCAGGGCTCTGTGTGTCTGTGTGCCAGACTGCTCAGTGGTCTGAGAGCATTTGTGTGTGGTTTTTGCACATATCGATCAATGATTGGCCTTTTTGTCGTTTGCATAATGACGACCTGTCATTACAAGCGCTAAAAAGGAAACACTGGCTTGCGAGGCCAGCCGGTAGCTGACAAGCTGCGGCCTCTTTCATCGTGAAGATGTCCATTTGAGCTTCAATGGTTGGTCTCTCTAGGGATATGTTAATTGATCTGTCCCTCCCCCTTTCTCCTTCAACTCCTTCATCTCCCGTAGAAGACGCACAGATGGAAAGAAAAACAATCATTTATACATAACAGCTCACAGGCAGCGCGCACTACAGGCTTCTGCAGCGCCTGTTGCCTGCCTGCATTGCAATTCTTGCCATTGAGGTGGTAATACAGTGGCATCGCTGTGTATCTGTGTGTGGACAAAGCCAGGGCTGTCAGCAGTTCGCCACTACTGGGACTGAAATGACCCAAGTAGGGAGCCATCATTGCTGGGCTTAAAACACTTTCCTCATCTACAGCACACACACAGCAGCGCCTAATGTCCCACAGCACTCACACACACTCTGCGCCCAGATAGATTCAGACAGAACGGCTGCAGGAGTGCAGCGGTGCCTGCTCAAACAGCCCCGCTCCGAGTCAGAGCGGGTTTCAGATCCGCCGTCACTTCTCATTTGCCTCCACTCGGATGGGATGATCACATTTAATGAGATAAATGTTTTCCTGTGACAGTCCGCTCATTTAACATGAGGAGAATCAGCTCCCACCCTTTGATTGCATTACAAATGAATTGTACTTTGATAGAAGGTTTGTGTGCTTTGAATATAATTTATCCTTAGTTGTGTCGAACGCATAGGTATAAAAGTTTTGGCACAGTGGCTACCATATTGTTTGTTTCAAGGAGAATGGAACAAACACCAACACACAAGGAAGCGAACTGGTTGCATTGCAAGTTGTAACCATGTGATGAGCAAAAGAGAAGATCTGGCTATGAAACTGCGCTCAGTCAGCATACCCTGGATAATCCTGTATTATCCAGGGTGGCCAGTTGTTTAAATATTATCATCAATATAACCTGAGACTAGTCACTGCGATCAAAAAAACCATCAGCTAAGTTTTTACTGAGGTCACAGAGCAAAGGAGCTGAGTGCTGTTTTCTCATAAACTTCTATACAACCTGAGAAATTTTCATCCCTTGGTGGCCATGAAAAAAAAAAAATGCAGGTTTAAGGCGTTTCTTCTGCATTGGCTTCACTTTTCAGACCCAGAAGCCACAGTCCATCCATCTTTAACACTGTCTGTGATTCAGCTGCAGTGGAGGGTGTACACACAGACTGCCAGAGCTTCTCCTCAGTACGACTAACAAATTGTTGTGGATTGTTTGGTCAGTCTTGCGTAATGCATGCCAAAGCACCAGCTTTGCTTGTTGCTTGTTTTGACCCTGCATTACAACAAGAGCAATGACAAACAAGTAATTTCTTACAGAAGCTGAGTTGTTCATTTATAAATATATGTGAAATATTTTACAAAATAAGTACTTTTACAAGTGATTTAGATCTTAAAATATATAGTAGCATTCACTAAACAAAAACAGCAGCTTATACATCTAAACGATTTAATTATTGTAGAAGGATTACAAAAAAATGTAAAATTGAATGTTGGATGAAGTGGTGTTAGATACGGAGCCCCACGAGGAACATTGGAGGGGAAAACATGAAGATGAACCTTTGTGAGATCTCGCAAAATAGGCCGCATCCTTCGGAGGCCGCCAGCTCGAAGCTGGCCGGGAGATCGAGGCACGATGCGCCGGGAGGTCGAGGCACGATGCGCCGGGAGGTCGAGGCACGATGCGCCGGGAGGTCGAGGCACGATGCGCCGGGAGGTCGAGGCACGATGCGCCGGGAGTGCGGTTCTAGTGAGCCTCTAGTGGCCTCGACCTCCCGGTCAGCTTCGAGCTGGTGGGTAACAGACGTAACAGCACTTTTGCAAATATGTGATGTCTTGATAAGCCGAGCAGATATTTGAACTTTACACAGCTACATTCACGCCTGAAAATATGTTAGAAGTTTATTTTGTGATGCAGAAAGAGTAATATTAAAACTAAGTAGCTGCTGCCATTGTTGGAAACTATAGTTGGCTGGGCCGTGCTATGAATTCTGGGATAGGTTGGTGTTACGTTCCCCTAAAAGGGGTCTAGGTGATGAGGGGGTGGGGGAGTATAACAAAATGTGTCCGGGTCAGAAAAAAGAGTCAAAATGGTTAAATTAAAGAATTTTATTAAAGTTTCTATTAATGTTCAACTAAAAGAGACTGACAAGCTGCTATCACCATTTAAGGAAACAAACAAAACTCAAGCGTTGGTCAGTAAAGTAAAACATAAGTCAAAAAGAGAGGGCAGCTCACTAGCTGCAAACAGCAAAAACACATGGCACTCTGGCCCAGAGCTCACCTTTCCCTGGGCTTAAATACTTTTAATTACTGATGCGAGTCAGCTGTGTAAAAGAGAAAGGTGGCACCTCAGGCAGAAGAGATTGTAGGACACGCCCACACAAGCACCTTCAGGAGGAGGCCCTGATAGGGCCGTAACAGTTGGGCCACGAAGGATACACCGACTCGGCCTTCAAATGCGACCTGCGAAGATCTCGCAAAAGTTCATCTTTTTTTTTTTTTTTCTCCAATGTCCCTTGCAGGGCTCCGTAGTTAGATGCCCTAAAAAAGATACTGAAAAAAACAACTAAAATAGAATAAGAAACACGTTTTAATAGATTTATTAATGTTAAAGTTTATCAGACCATCCTAATCTGCCTGCACTTTAGCCCCTCAGCTCTCCTCCTGAGGCCCTATAACCATCAGATTTGGCTAATTTGCTCAGCATTTCACTCTGTATTTGCTCAGATTGGTTCTCCACACTCTGTTCAGTTCAGCTACGGTTCCCCCACTGCCCTAACAGCCTGCAACCCGCCCGGTACGCCACACTTTTCCCTCTGACCCAGGCCAACATCCCATCAGCCCTGCAGTTATTAATCATCTTTTACCTAACTACAGTGCCCTATGTATTTATTTATCAATCACAGCTATCTAGCTGTGTCTCACGTTACAGCAGGCGTCATATTAAAATTTGTGTTGCTAAGCAATACCACATCTGTTGTTTTACATCATTTTCTGTGGCGTCAAAATGACGTCCTCAGTGATTCTAGGTATAAGTAATCATGAATTCTTTATCTTTTTATCCCCCACATCACATATTATCTTTCTAAAAACTTAAATTAAACCACCTACTTTAGGAAAAGTTGTGAAATATGAGATGTGGTTACATGATTTTTAAAAAAGCCAAGGGATCAAAATGACCCCCTCAGCGGTTCTACCGTGAACTGACGCTACCACACATTGGAGGTGATAATTTAAAAGCATCTGTTCATCCTCACCTGTTTCTTCATGTAGAGGTGCAAGGTGTCCTTCACCTGACTGCTTCATTTGGGTCTACCAGCTTGGTTTGTGGCATAAAACAAAAATAATCTCAAACAGGCGAGTTTGTTCTTTTCGCACCAAGAAAAGCGTGCGCATGACGTGGTTGCACTGTATATGGATCAACAAATGTATCACCACTTCCTGGTTTTTGGGCTGACAGTGATTATTATTATTATTATTATTATTAATATAGTTATTTTTGTTTTATCTGCATTTCATCTCATTAATTTTACATATTTGTTTCACTCCTTAAGTCCTTGAGCCAGCCTGACATGTAGAATTATACCAACTTAACACACTTTATTAGGCTCATTTCTATGCACAGCACCAGCATGGGAAGAAAACCCTGGAATAATACTATAAATATCAATTACATTTCACACTTCAAATCCGAAACAAAAACAGAAGTGCTTCATGAAAATGCTTTTCAGGATCTTTAAATATAGACTAGACTGACTCACAGGTCATCATATATACTTGCCTACAGTCTTTAAATCCTCATGTTGAAAGCTATAGTGAGTATTTCTCCAATGAGGAGCCAGACTTCAGTGGTCTGTCTGGGTTTGGAGCAGTTGAATATGTATTTGTGAATGGCTTTTCTTGTTCCATCTATGTAGAGTAATGAGCTGTACTCCTGTTAAAGGAATGAGAATTTATTTCCCTTTTTTCATAAGAGATGAAAGCGGCTTATCATCTGAGAAGAGCTGGGTGCAATCGATGCTTGTTTTCAGCTCATTCTCTATAATGTTTAATGAACGCTTATCTGTAAATCCAAATTGTAAGGAGAATAAATGTTGCTGATGTACATTCACCATAGTAAACTCAGTTGGCGAAGCCATGAAACATCTTTTGATTCTCTGTGCAGCAACATACCTGCTTATGCAGTAGAGAAAGGCAATGTGATCCCGGCATGAGGCAACTGACAAAAACCCAGCCTGAGAGCGGGAG